AAAATCTAAAGGCGGAAAAAAACATTCTAAAGGGCGGTTTTGTTAGACTTTAGCGATCATGTTAGGTGTTAAATTGCGTTCCTTAATTTTACGTGAGCAAAATTTCAATTTTTGAATTTTATCGTTTTTTGTGAATTATAATCAAACAAACCAAAGCAAATATACAGTTTGGATTTCAAAACGTACCTGTAGATATATTTAAACCCTGAAACAATATTTTTCAAAGGAAAGAAACACTCAATAATATATAAGCCGAAGGAAATGAAGACAGACTGCACATTTAGCACTCCCGCACAGCCCCCTCCCCACCCCCGCGTTACAGTGTGTCTTGGAAACTATTGCGCGCGCAGCTTAAACTCGTTTCGTCAGAATATTCAATCTCGTGCCAAATAATGATCAGGATTGCGGTTAACGAACTTATTATGATAATTAATAGAATGTTGGATTATTCTGTTTGAACTTCTATCTTCTTATCCGGGATTAAAAATCGACCACGAGAGGTTTGCTTCTGCCAATTAACTACGCAAATGATCTTTGGTAGGCACGTAGCTTGATGAACTATAAACCCTCCCCCCCCTCCCTCGCTACCTCAAAGGCGCTTATGATAAAAATGAATCAATTCTTGATCACCCATGACACGTCAGACGTTCTGCCAAGAGTTAGCTTCCAAAAGCGGCGGTCAGATTAACTAACTATTATTGGATCTGCAAAATAATAAATACGTATTCTAAATGGACAAACACGTCCTAAAAGAAAATCAAAACTAACAACCTCGGAATTTATTTTTGTAAAGTTAAGTCTTTGTGGCTCAGTGGCAGTGCGTCGGAGCGCGAAGGTCGGAAGTTCGATTCCTCATAGGAACGCATACATTTTCCTTGTCCTCACGCTTTCGTGACAAGACAAAAAATATCTTTCTTTAATTTCTTTGTTCTAAAATCGTCTTCATAAATAGTGTGGATTAACTTTGGGTTCTCGCCAAGAAAACTGATTCCTGTCATGTAAAATGTGACCTGAGCTAACAGAAAGTTTTCATCAAGCATATATAGGCTCAGAAGATATCCCTGGAATGCCAAACCTGCGGTTGGTGGGATCGCTCTGGGTGGTGATTTACTAGAGTGGAGGACGACTAAGAAAGCGTGATTGCTACATTCTCTGCCAAAGAGAACACATGTTATGCTTTTCACATTTCATACAGATTAACAGATGTTGTCGAGTTTCGTTCTCAATATATATCAAGTACAAGGAAAAGACTATTTTCTGCATCGACCTTAGATTTCAGTGCAAGCATGACTTTCGTTAACGTCGTGGGATGATGTTGCTTCTGAGGTCAAGTAAAGGGAGTAGAGTACTTCACAGATGTGATTAGGGGGAACAATTCGATGCTTACAAGTGATGTTCATACTTGGTATTCCTACTTATCAATATACAGAGTGCGTCGTGGTATCCGCCGTTAGCTTAAGATGGTCATGTTCCTGTTAAATTGATTCCAAATTATATTTACGAAAATCGTATAACTTTATCAATTATTATCAACGATCAATAAACCCAAAAGTGTCCGATGTAAAGGAAAATTCTCTATATATATATATAGGTGTGACATCTTTGGAGAGACTGCAAAGAACCCCGCAATTCAAGCACGTACTTTTGCTACCCACAACTATTTCCATCATCTCAGTAGGAAAAAAAAAATTATCCCAAGGGGATATAATGAACCTTTATTGCGTGGGTAGCTATCTCCTCGTCCAGTCCTGCTTTTTGAACTACAGGCTATGAATAATGTCATCTCTTGCCGTGAATATTGAGACATGAGACATTAATCCCGCCCCAGACGTAATTTCCCATGTACTCTTTTCGATTATGCAAGTCTAGTCGTCAATCTTATCATAACAAGCGGGATTTTCCTTTACGTTCAGTAAACCTTGAAGTCGTGTTTACAGCAATCTGGTTTAATTCAATTTTCCCGAAATACTAAAATCAGCTGCATAGAAAAATGGTAAGAAAGTAGGTGTTTGGAAGTTCAATTTGCGCCGTTTTTTTTTCGAGGTCTTGCTATATTAACCTCTCTTTCGTCTCCTGCAGGACCCACCACTTTCCATTCTTCTTCTCCTATGTTTCAAGTGGATTTTAATCGGGCTGAAATTTGCGATTTTCTTGGTTTTTTTTCAAGTGGTACCACGTGAGCAAGGAAGGAAACGTAGGATTTTTAACTTAGTGACCTAGGAGTACAGCGGAATTACAGTGGCGTTCATTAAAAACGGTCTTAAATACGTCCGCTCTTCATCGCCCCCTGCTAGAACTCAGTCGGGTCAGATAAATTATTCCGGGATAATTTCGGGCATAAAGCCATGGTCAGAATAGTGAGCATAATGCTCGCATAATGCTCGTATAATGACTAAACTTCTTCAAATTCCCTTGATGTTACAGTTCAATAGGGGATAAATTCTGTCGCCTGAGTACTGTCAACAGTGAGCCTGCTATTCCTGTATGCACTTTAGGAATGTCATCCACTAAAATGTTGAGTTCTGAACTTCGATAAGCCTTTTATTCGTAACAAGTTTTGCCTATTGAAAATTACATTGAGCACATACAAAAGTTTTTTAGCGTAATTTTCAGGGGTGACGCTCAAGATTACAATGTTCAAATGTTTTGGCATAAATTTATCTGACCCTAGAACTCGGACCGCCAAACTTTTAATTAAATTTCCGTCGAGTTGAAGGTAATAAACAATTTTCGTTCTAATTTTGTTTGATTTCCTTTTCGCGTGACCCTATCCCTGCAGTTTATCCTTTGGTGGATTGAAGAAAAAACTGTAAAGTTTACATAGGCAAAATTTACATGCTGCACATTCTACATTTTGTCCCAATACTTAGTAGATTTTCACTTATTACAGCGCTATTGACTTACTGAGTGAAAAATTGATTAGACATCATTCACATTTAGATTTATTGACGACTGAATTAGGAAACATCAATCATGTCTTTTGGAGAATATGCCAGAATCATCGGAGAAAAACAAATTAGATTCTTCCCATGCGATGCGATTGTATTTACTGATCGCAAATAACTGTTATGGCACGCAGTTCCTGCACCTAGTTTTATTCTGCATTTTTTTCTTTATCTGAGTATCACGTTTGAGTCAGTAAATGGGAATTTCCGACACAGTTGCTGCGAGGTGTTCTTCTGCTGTGGATAATGCCTGTATAGTCCTGAGCAATTATCAGGCGACGATCATGATATCACTTCAACTATCGGCAATAAATCATATTTTGTTCTTTATATCTGAAATTTTTACTTAAATCATTTCAAGCACTTTGCATCGCTGGAGAATCATCACACTTTCATATGCTTAGGTTGTTCCAATTGAGGTGATGTGTAACTAAATTGTATGCCGTAAAAATGACATAGACGTCGATTCTTCATGTAAACTTCCTTGTTAGAGTAAGATAGCTGCACGTACAACCGGGTCAGCATGCAAACATTTTATAAATATTTACTAATAAGGGGAACCACACTCGTAATTTTGGCTTTGAAATAAATTTTGTGATTTCCTCCAGTCACGTCGGATACTTTTACCTCTATAAACCACAGGCTGACAACTCTGATGTGCCCAAGGGCACATGACGTTAATTCCTTGACAGGGAATACTTGCTCTCAATCTCAACCGTCCCAAGGTTGGAAAATTGTGGCTCCCTGGTTAGAATCCGTTTATTACTTGAAGTCGTAAACTATTAATTTGATCAGTTATGGGAATGCATGCATGAGATCTCTTCTTGCTGTGTCTAAAAAAAGCTTACGGAAATACATTTCTTCATCTAGAAAACCTGTTTAAGCTTTCGCAATACTTGATGTACCTTGTTTTTTTTTCTTTGGCTCAACATGTAGAAGTTGCCGTAGGCAAATATTTTATATTCTCAGTCTCTGGTTTCAGAGCAGGCAAAAGTATCATTAGCATATCAAATTCAAGAATAGAGCCATTGAGTCTTTTCTAAGAGCTACGTCCGCTATCAAACATAATGTGAATCTTATATATTACAGGCTTACGGGATTGACGTTCATAACATTCCTTGACAGAAATTCTCTGATTGTTCAACGATTTTCTCGTACAATTAACAAATACATTGTACTAGTAGATGTAACAAAAGCGAAATTAAACGAGATTTTACGGGAGACGGATGGATATTTCACTTAATTTACAAAGGGAAATGGAAGACCCTTTTGCAATATTGCGAATCTCGTTTGATTGACAGCGATCTCAACACCTTGTTTCATTATTATGAAATCTCGGTAGGAAGAGCTAAGATAGCCAGAGGCGAATTTGGATTTTTCTATTTTGATAGTAAAATATCATTTGACGTTCAGGCAGATGTAGTCGCGATTTCCCCCGCTCTGTCGTGTCTGGGCTTCAATTACCCCGAGGGAGGATGTTCATACGGGGGATAAACGTGGGCTCAAGTTCCTAAAAAATACTGTTTCAAAATATGATTGTTAAGAAGCTCTGGGAATGAACCTGCCCGTGATCAGCTCTTCCTGAATTACGTTTTGCAACAAACAAGCAAGAGAAAAGGAAAGTAGACAGAGAAGAAAACAAACAAACAAACAATGAAGGTTTCTGGTCAAGCATATCTCTACGAACTTGAGTGGGATAATAGAAGAACACGTAAGAGGCCATTTGGATTTAGGCGACGAGCGCTAGGTATCGTTTCATTCTAAAAAGAACACCTCCACACACTTCGCAAGTTTGTCATTTCCTATTCGTGTTAATCCTCTCCTCCCTCATCTGTTTTAAATCCATGTCCAACCGGGACACTATTATGATTTTTGATCTCGTATTTTGAGGGTTCTCTTGACCTTAAGTACGAAAATGACAGAAGCGGAACGATGAAAAGTATCATGAACAGCATTGTTTCACGACTTTCCTTATAAAGAAATTTGTGGTCACATTTTCTTTATGATTTTTGTTGTAATTAAATGCTCTCCTGCAACATTCCCTGTTACAGCTCTTTTAAGTGAAAAGTAAATTTCAGGAGCCAAAACACACTCCCGTTCTTAAGATTATATTTAACTAACGGAAAATTAATACCCTAAAATAAAATCCTATTTAACCAAATGTATTGTTTACAGCATTCAATTATATGGTTTTATTAAGGTTATGATTACAAGATAGCGACTCCTACTCTTTACAATCTACTTATTGTCTAATTGTTCTTTGTTTTTCTATTCAGATATCACTTACAATTCAGGGGTTAATCTAGATATAGATGAAAAGAAGATAAAACTAATAATACGAAAACAAAAAAGCCTTATGGACGTTTCGTGAGATATCCCTTGACCCCATGTTAAAACAGACAGAACAAGATATGCATATGTATACACTAAAGCCCCCGAACATTCCACCAGAATGACGTGCACTTTCAGGGAAAATCGTTTAAACCGTTTTATACATTTGTCTTCAAGTGAGATATCCCTTGACCCCATGTTAAAACAGACAGAACAAGATATGCATATGTATACACTAAAGCCCCCGAACATTCCACCAGAATGACGTGCACTTTCAGGGAAAATCGTTTAAACTTTTTTATACATTTGTCTTCAAGTGAGATATCCCTTGACCCCATGTTAAAACAGACAGAACAAGATATGTATATGTATACACTAAAGCCCCCGAACATTCCACCAGAATGACGTGCACTTTCAGGAAAAATCGTTTAATTAAACCGTTTTATACATTTGTCTTCAAGGTGTAGACAGCATTTGTGCAACATACCTTCGCAAGCGATTCCAGGCGTCAACCGCGAAAAAAACCAAAACGCGCACCAATTTCAGATAATCAGTCCTGGCATATTTGTAACTTGAACATTAATTGTCATATATCTGAGCGGAAAAAAGGTACTCTCCGAGTAAAAATCTTTGCAAGGCTGCATATCTATGCCTAAAATATCCTTGTGTTCATAAAAGTACTTACTAGAACTCTAGAAGGTTCTAGAAGCCTGAGAGATAATTCTCTTAATGAGATTACGTCAATATCATATCATACAGTGCGTGAGTAAAGCTTTCTAGAAGAAACTTCCACAATTCTAGAAGGTTGTGGAAGCCTTTGAAATAACTCTTTTTGATAAAATTACATTATAAATTACATTATCTATTAGCAAGTTCTCTGCAGTTCTTAAAATGACAACAAAAAGTTCTAGTATCTACGTAAAATCGCTTCCTCAAAGAAACTGTCACAATTCTGTGTTAGAAGGTTCTGGAAGCCTAAAATTATAATAGGATTACATCATGATTATATTATCTATTAGCCAGACCTCAGCAGAAAAATTTCGGTTTGAAAACTTAGAGAACATCTCTCGTATATTGGCTCGTTTGGGCGTGCAAATTACTGCGACGCTTTCAGATTTTTTCTTCATTTTCCCCCTACTGTTACCGAATATCAGTACAACTGCTGGAAACTGGCGCAATCTTTTCTATACATTGTCACCTGTAAGCATTCGATCATAAGACAAGAGATAAACACCTTCTTTCTTGATTCCAACCAAAATCCTGCGCTGGTTATTACACCAATAAACCGATGGATAGCCCAGTCTATTGCTTTTATAAAATAACCACGGGTTTATCTGTACAGTAAACGATAGGTTTTTGACAAGAGATTACCAGTTCTTGCAAAATGGAGAACAAACAGTATTCCTGAATTTTTCAAACACCGTGACAAACTGCACTCGACTTTCCTTCCATCTCAGGCAATTTTTTTGGCCTTTATGAAAATATTTTACTCCTCCGAATAGCACCCGAAATCGTGTGATTTCGTTCTCTAATAATATACATGCACAAATGTCAGCATACTCATTGGCTAATAGCTCGTCAGTTATAGCCAAGCAATGCAGCAAGTTGAATCTAAGAGTAGAAGTGCAATACTCAAAATAATGTCTATCATTATGAAGTACTCAAATCATTTGGAGTGAAATTTAGAATACATAAGCTCCAATGCAATTGCCCTGGCCTGACATACGTGTCTAGTCCCTGCCAAGGAACCCACCAGACACCTTCACTTAACTCGTCCTAAATGACTTGTCACGCAATTTGAAACCCCTATGTGATGTAAGGCCAAATTGCCTCTTTCTCATGTCGGTAGTGCGACTTCCCTTGACATGAAGGAAACATTTTTTAAAAAGTCAAGCCAACCAAAAAATTTGTATTCTATGAACCAGCTAGCTCGATCCAGTCTTGAATAATCATCCAGTACTCTTTAGAACCTAGAAGTGTACGAGTCGGCAGCTTGACCTTGGCCGTCGACTATTTCGCTCAGTATTTTCTCCTCCCAATCTTGTTTCTTCTTATGTTTGTCAAAGTCCAACATTTTTTTATTTCTCAGAGCAGCCGGTAGTTGCTTTTTCTTCAAGTTGTTAATCATCACAAGAATTAGCGACGAATCTCCCGAGTCTATACCCCTCTGGACAGCCATGTGCAGTTCCTCCCGGCAGAAATTACTGGCAAGGTAATTCTGGGATAAAACGATCAAAACCTGACGGCTGCCATACACATTGTCCGCCATGTTTTGGACTATCGGCTTTCCAAGCTCAAAGTCCCGGCTATGAATGCTGTAAGCTATCGAGTGCTTCTCAAAAATTGAAATGAGGTTCTCATTAGTCCACGCCAAATCTTTTGAACTGAAGCTGATAAACAGTCGATTTAGGGTGGCTGCTTCCTTTAAGCCATCTGTCAGAGGTAAGAAAAAAAGCTATTGGAACACCATTCCTTTCCTTGTTACAATTTGAAAGCCAAGGCGGTTAGTCACTCTATGAATCGGTGCATCGGTCACTTAGTCAGTCAGCCAGTCAGCTATTTAGTCATTCAGTCAGTCAGACAGCCAGTCGGTCAGTCAGGCAGTTAGTCAGTCAGTCAGTCAGTCAGTCGTCAGTCAGTCAGTCTGTCTGTCTGTCTGTCTGTCTGTCTGTCAGGCAGGCAGTCGGTCAGTCGACCAGTCAGTCAATCAGTCATACAGTCAGTCAGTCGGTCAGCCAGTCAGTCAGCCGGTCAGTCTGTCAGGCGTCCAGTCATTCATGCAGTCAGTTAGTCAGTCAGTCGGGCAGACAGTCGGTCAATCAATGTGTCAGTTACTTAATCAGTCAGCCATTCAGTAATTCAGTCAGTCAGTAGTAGATCAGCCAGCTGATCGGTTAGCCAGTGATTATATCAGTCAGTCAATAGATAGTCAGTCAGTTAAGTGATCAGTGAGCCATTCAGCCAGTGTGTCAGTCATAAAGTCGGTCATTCGGCCAGTCGGTTCACCAACTATTTTGTTAATCAAATGGAGAGTCAGTTGGTCGGTCGGTCGATGTTCACTGAAGCTAAATCTCATCCTAAAATAGTCCAGCTAAAACCGCTAAATGTCACGTTTGAGCCTATGGTGCACCTGTACCGTTGGGTTTTTCCGGCAACACGAACCAGTAAATATGATGTCTGCAACTTACATTTTCCCAATTTAAAAGTTGACGAACTCTTTTTCTTGACTAAAAGTCGCACCAACGACATGATGATCACAGTGAGAGTTGCTGCTGAAATAATGATGACTGGTAGAAGCCAGTTCTTTGTACCTCCTGCAGATTTAAACAAAAAAGTTTGAAATTCATGATTCAGCGTAGGGGGATTTAAAATTTGACTTGAAAATACTGAAAAACACTAACCAGAAGGGAAGTGAGACGACGGCTTTGCTGTGAATTTAGTTGATTTATTTGCAATGGTCGTGTTCAGTATTGGTGGATCTGAAAATGAACATGTAAGATTCTCTGTGGTCAAACAAGCATGGACAGGAGGGAGATAGGGAGGTAAAGAGGTGGGCAAGGAAGGCGGGAAATGGGAAGATAGGTAGAGGGGAGGGAAGTAGAGAAGTGGGTCGGGAGGGAAGAGGGCAAGTTGGTAGAAGGGACAGAAGGATCTGAGGATGAGGAAAGAGGGAGGAAGAGTAGTAGGGAGAAACTTTTATAAGACACTAAAACAATCTACGAAAGTGGGGGTGAAGGTAGGGAGTGAGGTAAGGTTATGGGTAAATTTGCAGGAATTGTTCTAAAATTAAAGGTGATAGTAGGATGTAAGTACATATAAGGGAGGGAGAGAATAACGAGGAGAGAGAGGCAGTTGAGTCGTAGGTAGCTGGGTAAGTTAGTAGTTGATTGACTTGTACTTTCAGTAGGCAGTCTGCTAAAACAGGAAGATAACAGACAAATAGACTTGTCACCAATCGAATAGAAGACCCTGACGTGGAACATTCAAAACCACACTTTTGTTCATTATATATATTGGTTATGTTGCGACCTCCCTGCCGAGGTCAGTCCCTTGGATTAGCTAAACTAAATACTTGCAAAACAGTTACGAATTTAAGAACTGACTTACCTGGAGGGGGGAGTTTTAAATCTATGAAAGCTGTTAAGTTGGAGTGATATTCGCAAGTCCAAATACAGCTGTAATTTCCTTCGTCATTTTCAGTAACGTTCAGAATGGACAAAACGGAGACTTCTTCACATTTATTTTTAACTTGTTTTTCTTGTATTCGGTACTTTGCGCTTTTTTCCAAAAGCTTTTTTTCTTTTCCTTCTCGATACCATAATATGTGATGGGGACAATCCTCATTCTGCTCATATAGGCAAGTTAGCTTAATAGTAGAAAATTTAAATTTCGATGCGGAAATGATTGGGTGATGTAGAATTTGAGTAGGACCTAAGAAGGAGATAGTAATAATAATAATAATAATGAAGCATTTATAGAGAGCACTCTACATATGAATATGTTCTAATGCACTAAATAACACTTTATGGAGAGCTTTGGCCAGGCTGCTTTAAGCAGTTTACCGAAATTAAAGGGAATTTCGCAGATGACCCCAATTTAGGAATCTTTGGAAACAAAGCCAGATCCATAACACCGGGAGCTACGTCACCTACTGTTTGTGAGAAATGCGTGGGTTCTTGACCGTCCCCTGCAAACCAATAGAGAAGAAGATACAGGAGACGGGCCTACGGTTTTTATCCTTACCCGAGAAGACTAGATCGTCATACCAAAGGCAACACATTCTCCTCAGTTGTTTTAAGATCCTGAGTGTTGGTCCGCACGGCAGTTCGGCGGTCTACAACTTGACCTAACCAGCCGACGCATATATAGATTGTTGCTTATTATATATACATTAGACAAGAGATAATGATTAATTTATAATCTCTTATTATTGGTTTACTGCGAAACGTTTTTTGTAATTATTAATGTTGACAAAAAAAATTCATGCACAGCGACATGCTTCTCAAAAAATCGGCATTGATCTTTCAAAATAATTTCTTAAGATCAAACTCGTGTTCGAAAATTTTTGGAAAAGTAACCTTCTATGTCAGAAATTCGAACTGTAAATTTACCACAACTTATGGTTACGATACTTAATCAGATCCGAAATGCTTACATTTAAATTTAACCTGTAATCTTTCAGAAGCATCACTCGACCAGTCAGATTCCTGGTTGGTAGCACTGCATTCGTAAAATCCCTCCAGTTCCCCTCGGCCAGGCGGGAGGAGAAGAGTACTTTCGATATATTTTCCTCTACTCCTCTGATACTCATAAATTCCTTTGGATCCGTTGACGACTTTTTCCCCATTCCTGTACCAGTGGACCAGCTGAGGGGTAGGCTGTCCCGAAAAACAGCACTTTATTTTCTTCTCCTTGTCTTTAAGAATAATGTCAGGCGTGGGAGAGGTACAGACAACTTTCACCGCTTCTAGGGGAGGGAAAATGCATCGAAAAACTGCTCAAAAATCTCTCCATGTTAATGCACGCACTCGAGAGCTGACATAAGTTAACCTTTATGATAATTTATTTAGCTAAGTTTCAGGAAAATGGATGTTATCAATACTGTTGCTAGCGTGTTCCAGACGTTCTATCGACAAAATGGTGCGAAATAGTAAACAGATCGATAGTATCGGCAGAGCGAAGACTGAGGGGGGCTTGGATCGAGTTTTTCATCGCGCAATTAACCCGGTCCTCTTGCGTTTCTTCACTCTTCCGCTACTATCGCGCCAGTGACTATCGCGCATCGTTTTATTAACTGAACGTCGGGAAGTGGTTATAGTATCACTCCATGTTCAGTCACACTTTATGATAAAGTCAAAACTGATCGTAATTATAAATGAAAAAAGCAAAAGATAACAGGATGACTTTAAGATGAGATCTTGATTGGATTTATCATTTCGAAGCAGCAATGATTGATAAATTATTGAAATTTGCCTTCCCCTCCCGCACAACATGGGTCCTTCTCATTAGCAGTTAATTAGCATAAATTTCCCATAGTCCTCCCTCATACTTAGTTGGCGACGACTGATCCATTCTTCGAGAACCATGCGATCCTCTCCAAAATCCTCCACTCCCCCCCACCCCGCGGTGATAAATAATAAGAATGAACAGACGAGCCACTGCTAATATCTATTCGCTTTCCGTCTTGTTCCCAACTCATACCTATTAGTTGTGTTCTTGAAATGGCCGAGCCATTGAGAGTTGTATTGAGGCCTGGGTCTACCTTCGTTGATACGGAGTCCTGCCAATTACCCTGAGATAAGAGACACGAGGACTTACATCTTGCAGATGACACACCTGTTAAGAAAAAAACAGAAGAAATAGGACATAAATAGATATATGAACAGAATTAGGTGAGAACAAAACGAATTAATAAATATATATCAGAGTGAACGTTTATAGGGAACGAGACTAAATTGCTCTCTCGCTTTAAATTATTATCATTTTATGATATCCACGAATTCGCTCACTCAAAACATTATGTGGATCACGCGTCTCTTGGAAATTTTGACCCGGATTCTAGATTTTTTTTTTTGAACTTCGGACCGAAGATCGCGGCGTTAGTCTCTGTTCGCCCTCGGTCGGTATACTGTTTCGACAAATTTGTTAACTGTTCAGCTTTTGGCATTTAGAGAAAGACTGGTAACCTTTTCTGACTTACAGACTTGACAGCTTAGAAATTCAGTTTGAAAGTGCCTCAATTTTTTCACTGCCTTTTGCAGTACTTTCAAAGACAGAATTCTTACATGCGAACATTCGTATGCAGTTTACATGCAGCATTGAGATTTTCAAACTGGCCGAAATCCGAATATAAACGATCCAGCGGAACATCGGATTGACAGATTGGGATTAAATGTTGCTCACATCGGCGGAGGCATAGACCGGATGCAAATGTAGCGCATTACTCGGTCGGCCCGGGTTGAGTTGCATGATAGCGAGGCTGGCAAGGCCTTGGATTTTGTTGTGTGACCGCAGCTCTGGAGAGGTATTGCTTCGTTGTCAATCTATTCCGTTCTATTTCGTATGCTTCTGAGTTTTTGTGTTCCTGAAAGCCTTTAAAAGGAAACGAAATCTTTCACGGGAGAGTAGTCTGCCATATTTGGATCCGGTGTTTAGCCTCATTCAATATTAGAATGCAATTGATGTAGAGGGTGAGTCAAGTTTGACACCTCGAATTCGAAAACGGTCTAAGTCTTGACGAAAGTGGAAATACACAGCCACTCCATCCTGAGAGAGACTCTAATAGACTGCTGCTTTTTTGGATGACGAGAGAGTGAAATAATTTTGAAAATATAAAGAAATAGTTATGAAAAGAATTTATAACAAGATCTAGACGGCATGAAAATATCTGCTCTAGCTAATTTCTTTTTTAGACGTTCGCCATTAACATCTCACGCTCATCTTTTCGATTCTTGGCTAAATTAAGAATTGTGCTTCAGCTGCCTTTACTTTGAATGTACTTAGCTTGCTAATTAACGTCCATGAGGAATTTTTCCTGCCCCAGGGGGAATATGTATTGCACTGGCAGAAATTTAATCCTAAATCCAGGAAAAAGTGAAAAGCAAGAATGAAGATAACCTCGCTCTCGAGCAAGCTAAGGCGTTTCAACGAAAGGGCGCTGAGCGATGAAACTGCAGTCACCTAATTCATTAAAATATATTCAGATTCAATTTCAGCACCCTATGGTTTTTTACTCAGCTATACAAAGGTTATCTGTATTCACAACAGCAGTGCTGTGTATTAAAACTTAACAACTTGTTTTGTGCACACACAGTATGGTTTTGACTTATTAGCTGAATGAAATTTATCCTTAGTCATAACAGTACAATTACTTGGGAACTACTTGTGTACACTTATAGAGGTCACACGTCTCCCGTTACCCCAATTTGCCAGCTGTTAATGATCTAAACAGCCAATATCTGCCGTTGGTTGTGGTTGGTTGAATTGAAACGTGGAGGGAGAACAGACCAAAAACCGAACTCATCAAAATTAAAAATCGCTTTATCACGCATCGTCAATATTTCATAACACGCGAAAAATGAGAATATTCATACCGTTAATATGTTTAGCATAAATAATACATTTTCTTTCAAACTTAAAAAAAATTGTTTCTTCTAAGAGACAAAACATTTCGCAATACTGTGCTCTAGGATTTAGGGAACTAAGCTAATTTCGCACCCTTTTAATTGCAGCTGTTTTGTGAAAGAAAAACAGGTTTAATTTCAAGATAAAAACATTTTGAATTTGTTTTGTGGTCATTAGCCTTTAAATAAGCTCTTTTTTTTCTTTTAGAAGAACACGTGACGGTGACGCTTTCCTTCCCTCCCTTCGCTCGATTGAAATGTTTTAGCGTTAGTTTTCAGCCAAAAAAAATTAACGTTACGTTATTCACAATATGATTGAGATTCTTATGAACAATGGTAATGTAAAACGGATCCTCTTAGAGTAAATTTCCCAACCTTAATATTTGCGTCATGTTATGCGAAAATTTCCAAGTAACAGGTTCCAATAAGTTTGCTTGCAAAATGAAATAGCTTTCATATTCAGAGCGACTAGTTTTGTTGTTGTTGCTCTCCTGCAAAAGGAAGTACCCGTCATAAAAGAAACACGAAGTTCGTGGTCTTTGAAACTGGTGTTTCTAAGAAAAACGCGAAACGCCTGATAGCACAATTATCCCCAGCTGTTTTTTCGCCTTCGTGATCTTTGCCAAAAGACTTCCTCAGATAAGACACTTATCTGAATTTTCAGTACAGCAAGATCCCCAAAACTACATGTGGCAGCAATAAATTAGCTAACTTAACATACCTCGAATTTGTTGAAAGAACAAATAACAAAGCCACAAGCGATTTAACAAACAAAGTTTGAGATATTTGTTGGGGTTCTGATGTTTCGCGCCCTCCATTCCATCTGCAGGCTAAATACTTGTGTTAATCGAGTAGGCCGTGACGTTTGTTTAAAAAGGAATTTCGTGAGTTTTGCCCACACCTCCTACGCTATTTTTTATTTGTTAATTGTAGTCTTCTTTTTGTATTATTTCATAACTAATTCAAAGCAATTAATAGGTTTCAAAGGGATTTTAAATAGGTTTTTAACATTAGCAAAAAAATGGTTGTTATTCAAGAATTATGATGCGGTTTTATATATCCAATTTATTCTCGGTAAAGCATGTAAGCCTGTAACGCAATAAGTTATAAAGGCGATTATAACAAACCTTTTGGCAGTTATCCAGATCGTTCTTCACCAATAGAGTCAATTAGGAGATAATTTAGCACCTACTGACGCAAAGAAATAATTTATCTTCGATACAATTTGCATAAAATACCACGATAGCTTTAAGAAATCAACTGAAAGTAAATGTTGTTCCTTTCACCTTGTTTGCTTTGTTCTTTGCAACTTTCTTTAATTTTTTTTTCAGATTCAGTTCATCTGAAAAAGATTTGGAGGTGTGAACAAGCATTTGCACCTATCATATGATGATTAGTCTTCGCGTTTGTTTTATGTAAATAAAGCTCTTCTTCTTCATGCTTTCAACCGAATCACACTTGTGTCACGTTTAGGACTCAGAATCAAACCGCAGTTAAAATTTAGTCTCGAGTCGGGAAAACGAGTAACCTAAAACTCCTCAAATCTCTGGATTAACTCCGCCTTACATCATCCAAAGTGAACTCGTGGCATAGATGATAAATATCGTATTTCTTTATTGTTTCCAAAATGTAACCAACTTCTCTCACATTACTTGTCATCACCTCTGTTGGTTTCACGCAGAGAGGAAGGCCCAGTTCAGACGTCGTGTCTCTGCCGTGCCGAAATTGCTTGCTATTAGGTCTGACTTTAGCACGGCGGGAACACGACTTTGACGCAGACATCTTGGTAGAGTGGTACGAAATTCAGAATTTATGGAGGTAAACTGATAATTCATTCTCAATCCCGCCAAAAAGTCATAAGCATAATTTATAAATTTTGTTTGGCTCGGCGGAGGCACGACGCTTGAAGCACTGTAGCGTCAGAGTCGTGTGGCACGGTAGTGCTTGTCGAACTTAATTCAAAAGTTTGATTCAGACGCCGTGCTTCTGCCATGCTTTTTTCTAACTTAATTTCTGAACTAAGTTCAACACGTCAGGAGCACAAAGTGGGAACTGAGCCGAAGACAAAGCCTTTATGATCACTCGGTGGAATATGTTTAAAGAGAGAACTTATACATGTACATAGTTTTCGAGTGTTTGAGCTGGTTATTTTAGGGAAACCGAGATTCTAAATTTAAAAGAAGCGCAATCAAAGTGCGATGTAATTCATTCTGGGATAAATAGTCAACTCGCACGAGGGAACTTTGGAGAAATTCTGTTCTCGAAAAAAAGCAATCTTTCTTTGCTGTATTACCTAAAGATGCGAACCTGTAAATCCCCTGTTATTCATTACTACCAGCTAATCGAGCCGATCAACGAAGCGAAAAGCAGTAAATTAAAGACAAAATGAAAGAAGCAGGCGTTGTGGTTTTAAATTCTCCCATCTGACGTTAATAATAATGTATCACTAAGTGTGGGAGAGACTCTGTGGAAATTTCAGGGTATTTGAGTGTTAATTACGGATGTATATCCGTAGGACTGAATTATAGAGACAAATTCGACATAAATTTTACGATGTAGACCTACAAATCGTCTGGCTGACTTTTAAACGTCGGAAATTAAAACTTGTTTTAATTTTCACTCCATAGTATTGTCCCAAAAACAATATTCGCCAGCTTTGCAGCCGCTTAAAGACAACATTTATCAAGCTTTACGCATAATAAATCGATTGGTGGGGTTAATATGTATACGTAGTTTAAATTACTTTTTGCCGCTTGGAAATTCAGATCGGTGTTCATTTTCGCCAAACTGTTTGGTGCAAAAACAAAACTGATCAGCTTCTACTTCACTACAATCAGAAACCAAACTTGAGATGAAAGGATCGGCTGTTGATGTTACAAGTTTGAACCAATCTTTGGCCGCTCGAAAATTTAGATAGGAAGCCATTTTCGCCAGACTGTTTTGGCAAATGTTATCAAATCGTATAAACTTCCGTCTGACTGACAACATTATCCATGCTGAAATAAATACATCTGTGCACGAAATTACTTTTGTGACGCTCTACGTGAATATATGCGTATTTCTTGCACAAAAGAAATGGGATCTGGTCAGTGAATTGTGCCGAAACAGCTAACGAAAGTTTGGTAAATTGTAAGTTTAGATGCGTATAACACATTTAAATATTACCACTTACCTACCACGTTTCTACCCACTTGATAAATGTAACTGCGAATCGTCCTTCAATATTCCATTTTCACTACCATGTCAAGTTGTAAGCTCTTTAGATCTACTAAAAAGCTTAAGTACTTGATGTTTTTTTATGTGCCGAAACATGAAACATTCGAGAAGTTTTATTTTAGGATTATGTAAATAAGTACTTGAGAAATTTTAGATCATAAAAGCATCCAGGATCGATAAAAAATTGTAGCAATTCAGCTCTCACTAAAATAAAAATTTCTGATTTTTTTCTTTGGATTTTTCTTTCAAGCAAGGGCATTTTAAGATGCGCTCACGAGTTATCCAACTGTTGAGTATTTTTTCAGCGTGTGAGAGCCCCCGCGATAGACAGAATGTGGCTATCTAACTTTCGTGAAAGTTCCAATTATTGTTAAGCGACCTCCCCTTGGAGAAAAGAGTTGAAACCTCACTATACAGAGTAAGAGAGTTCTCACGAATTCTACACTGAACAACAATTTTCCACATTTAACGAACTGAGCCAGTGCATGATCAACTGAACTTTTGCTCTACCAAATTAGAAATCCAAAATAAATATTACTCTAGATTGTTAAAAAAAGTCGATAGGCCAGAGGAATTTTCATCATCAGGGATTTTCACAACAAAAGCGGAAAAATTTGGTTTAACTTTGTTACAACGTCTGGGTTTTTGCCACAGCACGTCTTCAGCCATTGTCAAACAAACTGTAACCAATTTATTCAGAACCATGACGGCGACGGCGGCCACAGCCTACAGAAATGAACGATTTCAAGAGCAGAACAGTAGCTCTTGCGTGCATTTTAAGATTTAGTATATTTTTAAGTAGTCCATGGAAAACAACAAGAAATCAACAAAATTTACGTCGCCTCGGGACAGGAAACTTGACAGCAAGTACTGCAAATTTCAACTTCAAACTAAAGGCCAAACACACATGTTGAGTAGATGAGAAGATCTGGCGCCGTTACAGTAGAAAGGCCCAGCAAAGTAATCCCAAACCCCTCAAGAGAAGTTGAAGTTCATATCTTAATCGCTTACCCAGACGTCGCCGTCGAGTCAGCGCAAACCCCCATAATAATGCATGAACAATATGAGAATGAATACGTTTTGCGTTTGAAAGTAAGTAAGGCTATTGTTACGCTTGTGATAACCGTACTCCAATTGTCTCCGGAATTCCCGATCCCCGTTCTTTTCATGCTGAGCTCTTTTACACCAGGTGAAGGATGGCAAACAACTTAAAGCTCTATGTCGTGGGGAAGAGATAAACCGTAAGTAAGCTAGTTGACTTTCATTCAGGTAGATATGACTCTATGACACTGAACGAAACAACGGATTTCTTGTTTGTTTGCAACGTTTCTCCTTTCTTTCCATTTGAATGGGAAATATCTTGTGTTTTGTAAATAGAATGAGAGATATACTAAGTTTTGAGCTCGGTAATGAAATAGAGAAAGGTATTTTTCGTCTTGTCACGAGCGTAGGACAAAGACAAAAATTTTTTCGGAAAAAATTCTGAGTCCTTATGAGAAATCGAAGCTAAGACCTTCGGGTTCTGCGCTCCGATTCTCTAACCACTAAGCTACAGAGACTCTACAATGAGCGAGGTCTATTACAAAGTTCATATGACACGTGTCCTGCATACTGCTAGGATCAGCAAAGTTGTGTTTTGTTGCCATAAATGACTCGACGAAACCATTTTGTTGTGTGTAGACGAATCAATTAATAGACAATAACGATATTGCATGCTAATCATCGTTCACAGAGCTTTAGTGAATAAAAATAAATAAATATTTTTGCATTTTTTTCACGTGTGAGTTAGAGGAAAGCATTTTAAGGCAAATTATTCAATTCCTCGCATATAGAGCAGACAAAGTTTAACATGCTTGAAAGACAGTCTATGCAAATAGATCTGAGTCATTTAAAGAAGGTGTAAGGTCTTTTCAAATATTGATTACCTTAAAATAAATTTATTTTTTCACCTGCTTTAGTCCGTGCTCTAAACTTAGAAAGATTCTTGAGTGACAGAATATCTTGTGTTGCGGTATATTTGCCTAAGAAAGAGAGAAATAATTACTTACGTTTCTGTGGCGTTTCAAGCTCTTTTTAAAAGTTGCAGCTTGACGCTTACCCCAGCTCTTGTTATGAATTAAAGAACACGCGAAGAAAACTAGCCTTGTAATGTTTACCAGGGCATGATTACTTTTTATTGAAATCATATTTCGTATTTTCCCGGTTCTCTCCTGACATTATCCAATACAATAGTCCTCTTGTCGTATTCAGGTCAGCAGACTATCAGGAAGGAGCTGGTTTAACGAGGTTCGAATTTGAAAGGCTTTCTATAGAAGCTACGTACTGAAGGACAACTAAGTGGCAAGGCGAAATATTTTTAAATAACTCCTCTTACTTCAAACGATTTCATTCTGTACACAACTTAAGATATAAATTATGCTTACTCTTGATATAGCCGATAAGATTCTGCGCCAAAACAAAATGTTTGAGCTCATGAAAAATAATTTATTGACTGACCAATGGAAGAAAAGGAGATGAAAATTTTCCTAATGCTTTAACTAGTAAGGGTTACCCATGTATTTTTTTCTTTACAATTTATAATTGTACTGATAGAACAGTTTTTAATTGTGTCGAAAAACCAAAACCAAATTAATCGCAGTTGCCACTCAGAATAAGAGTTAACATCATTATTAACCAATGAGAACTGAAAGAAAAGAGAGGCAACCAGCTTGACGCACGAGAAAACGCTAGTGAACAAGTTTGGATCAGTCTTATTTTTGCATTTGATCGGTTGAGATGGCGGCGCGAATTTTTTCCAACAATTACAGGGCGAAGTAAAGCCAACCGAAAGCAATCCAAGATCATTTTTAATACTCAATCGAAAACTATTGTTAAAATTTCTGCTGAGGAAAATAAACATGAATCTAAAGGAATATTGGGAGATTTAACACAAAATTTTCATTCCTTACACCATGAGAAATGCATAAGACACAACAAATAAGACTTATTTCACGATCCATGAGGTAAACAAATTCAACAGCTCAGAGGTGCAGAAACATCTGTTTGTGCTCGTGCTTATGTTATGATCTTTAAAAGTAGCAATATTAGCTCTAGATACCAATTACGTTTTCTCTAGGACATAAATTGTGAACTGTTAAAATTTATTTTCTGCATTTTGGTAGCATTGGAATTTCTGCCTGGAATTATTTTTGGCGATTTTCAGTTCACTGAACAGAACGTCAACGAGAGAGGAGAAGGAAAACTTTCGAATTTCAGGACATGTTGAGTAAAACAGAGGTGAGCGGTACACTGAAAATGATTCGGGAATGCCATCCCCCCCCTGCCTCGTTTGAGTGAGTCCGAATGCGAATTGAGGAAGAGAACTGAGGCTTGATTCACATGCATGTGGAGTCATTCTCTAAACTAAATCGCGTTAATTTTTGCGAGGTTCAGTGAGCTGTGCGTGATTTTTCGTGATTTTGACTTATATTTGTGGATTGGGGACAATCTGTGCAGTCCGCAAACACTAAACCAACATTTTCATGACACATAGTAAGTACGCTCGAGGTGTCTTTCCAAATGAAGGGATTTTTACCTGAAAGTAACACAAAAATGACGTAAATCGTATCATGACTCAGCCTTTGCTAATTATTTGAATGTGCTCAGTAAGTGAGATAATTTTCAACATCTGCAGCCTGTAGTATTTTTTGCTCAATTAAAAGGCAACACGCAATTTTACCCCGTTCTTACCCGACGTCAGCCAGAACAATGTCCACGATTTAAAATCCTCAGTCAGAAACGCCATTCGTACATACAATTAAAAAAATGCAATTCAGGGGATGATTTGATTTTTGTCTTCACCTACAATTTTACGAAACTTAAATAACAAAGCAAGAGAATCTACAAATTTAAATTTTCCCCGGGTATACATGCATGACGATTCCCTAAAACAAACTTTGAACAAATGATCTGGCAGAAAACATTTATCAAGCTATTGAGTACAGCCATCGTTAGTGGTTTAAAATGATTTTAGAATATTTACACTAAAAAAACCCTCTCAGCGTAAGGATAAGCTATTTGGATATCGCACTTGACTGGCAAGTAATATTTGAATCATGAAACTTAAAATGATACGCATTTAATCTGTCACATAACAAAGAAAACATTCTGAATAAAATGTAATTGTGGCCAAAAAGATTCTTTTATTTTTAAGTCGTAAGAATACAACCTTTCGTGAAAAGTTCAATGTCACTGTAGTTCTTGTCACCCACGAATAACAGAATCATAAAGTAACAAAATACCTCGTTCCTGATTGGTCAATGGCAAATGCACAATTAGGCAAACGAGTGCATCATGGGATTTCTGTGAAGCATGAATTACTTACGCTAACTTGTAAGATAACACCCAAACATTGATGTTGCCATTTTGTAAAGTGATCAAGTCAAATAAAGCAGGCGAGAATTAAACAAAGCACTGAAAAGCATTTCGAGTATATGCGTCGAGGGGGAACAGAGAAGCGCCAGAAATTGTTGAGAATGTTGTGTTCAAAATGTAATGAACAAATGATTGCGTGATGCTCCCGTATTTCATGATTTATGGTGACTCGTAATGCTTTGAAAAGTTTTAAACGAAAACTCTAGAAACATCACTCGTGGCCATAAATTACAAAATGCACACGCAGTTCCAGCGACATCCTACGCAATCTGTTTTTTTCCAGACGCTTTTTCTTGTCTGGGGTGTTTTTTTAGAGCTTCCAAATTACTTGTTCGTATGAGGAAACACCTGGCTGGGTTGATTTTTCTCACAATAATCAATCAAAGGATGCAATTTCTATTGCTGGTGAAAATTTCCAAAGCCTATAAATATGCATTGGTAATGTAACTTTTGTAAAGTAGTCTGTTTACTTTGTAAAAGCTTGACTGTCAGAAGAACATGCGCTCCGTCGACTGCTAATTAATTTGAAACCCAGGATCAGCAAACAACATTGATAAATGCAGGCAAAGCAAGGGAAGCAATTTTGTTGATTGAAGACATCTTAAAAGGATCACGAAGGATTGTTTGACAGTTCATTGATTCGTTTAAAATGATCTTGAGTAAAATGAAAAGTGCACCTGCTTTTCAAAAGAAAGGTCAATCATTCCTAATTTCAATTCTATACTGCAAAGTTATGAAAAAATTTATTTCAGGATTTATCAAATACAGCTTTAATTTATTTTTACAGAAATTGAAATTAATAAAAATTCAAAAAAATTGAAAAACTCTGTTCATATTCCTCCACGAGAAAAAAAGAACCCTTCTAAAATTCATCTCCCTCAATCCCAACGGGTGGTTCGTAGCTCAGTTAGAGAGGTACTGGTTCCAATTCGGTCAAAGGTTCTTCATTCGTAGGTCTGTTGGAATTCATTTCATTAAAATTAGTACTATCTTACTGCTTTGATCATAAAGTGCCGCTTTTAAACTTTATGAGCCTGTTAATGAGATTGGTTCAAAGCGCTAATTAGGCTAAAGACAAGCAAAAGTACATGCGAACAACGCTCCTGCGAAATTGTGCGTTATTTTGGTATTCTGTGGATAATTAAAAACTTACAGGTATGGGCCATTTTTGAGACGGTTTAGTCTCAATGTTACACCTACGAGATTTTTAATGAACTACATGTACTAACATTATTAACATTCCTCAACCACTCTTTCTTCTCTTTTTCTGCATTGATAACTGATACTTTGCATCGTCTACTAGAAAACTGAAATAAAATTTCAACAAATATAAGTTGATTAAACAAAGGAGTAACACTGAACTAAAATCGAGTGACATTTGATGGTTCAGGCCGAATGGTACATTCTGAGACTGGGCTGGGAAGTATTTTCTGAGGTAGGAAATATCAAAGGAGTTTTTGTTGAAAGAATTACCTCAAAATAGAATAGTTCGCTAATGTAGGAAAAACAGAATGAAGTCATTTTATGTGCGAGGAGATCAAGGAACGACGAAGGTTAACTAGAAATGAAAAGTATTTATAGGGGTTGCAAAAAAAAAAGCTGATTTGTAATTGTTTGTTTACTTTTCCCTTAAACTCTTGTTAAAGAAAAAATAAATAAAACGAATCTGCATTCAGAGCACTCACCTGTACCAAAAATAACAAAGAGGAGATGTTCCAAGATGCCATAATGAATGAGCATCAAATGTCCATAGGATTGGTGGAAAGTCGCCCAGCTAGAGACAGTAGAAGATAATTAATCTATGATAAGAATCTGTCTTTTTCTAGGAGTTGTGGATTGTGATACTTGTCAGCCTGTTCCAGAGATTTGTTTGAAAGAGAAGCCACAGTATATTTGCACAAGGTGCATTTTTTTAAATATTGAAAATCAAAGCAGTATTGGTTATCAAACAACACAAAATTAATTAATTTAAGAAATAAGCAAGTTGTCAAAACTTAAGCTTAATGCATCTTTTCAGTTTGGAGTAGTAGTTTTCCATATTGTGTGTCACCCTTCATGAGCAGAGTTCTATCTGGCACAGTCGTTCAGCAAAGTGCTAGGCCATAGACCTGTCAGACTGTTGAGGTATGGTGAACATATTTACATGATATTTAAGGTACCATTCCAACTATGGTAAAGGAATGAAATTTCATAACCACTTTAACATGTATCATGTATCATCAGTGTATTTGATAAACAAAGAGTTTCCATTTACCTCTAGACCTAAGAGAAAGAACACACCAATTGATACAAAAGCACATTTCCACACGTATGGCTGTTGTTTGTAATACTACAAAAGAAAGATGAATGGACTCACTTATCCTGTTTAGCATTATGATTTAATTGATTAAGGAAAACAGCAATGGAAAGCCCATTTCCAAAATGGATACTGTACAGTTTCCTCACTTGACCTTGGTCACAAATGAACAACATTTCCTCTAATCTAAATCACATTAACCTTTAATTTGCTCTTCTGATAAGAAATCTTTTTTGAAACTATCATCATCTAATTATAATCAATTTTGGTAGAATCATTGGGGTGGACCTGAATTAGTTTAACTGAGAGTTCTGTAACAAGATTTACCCCTTAAACCCTGAGAGTGACCAGCATCTAATTTCTCCTAACAAATCCCCCCTGTCACCACTAAAGGAGATGTATGGAGAAGTGTATGGAGAAAAGGGATATTAATGTTAGGGTGTAAAGAGTTAAGCTGCAACAGAGAGGAAGGAGATAATCACTAATATGGATTGAAAATAATCATATTTTACCCAATTGGCAGAAATGTTGCAATCTGATTGGCCAATTTGCTGAGAGCACTGTTTATGTCAATGTGTTATGATCATACTCTTGCAATGAAAGAATCGTTTTATTTGATGTCAATATTGAGGCAAAAACAGATCAAAAGTGGCTGTAGCCTGCAGAGCAGGCATAATTTTGGCTAGCAAGTGCTGAGTAATTTCATCATGAATATTATGGCCACCATCTTTGATTTTAATGGCAGCAGAAGGCTAGGGAGAGTAAAAATTTATACCAAGGGGGTGGTCGACAGTCAAAAATAAGGAGAGGGGTGGGGGTAGGGGAGTGAAGTCTTTTCTCCCCTTCCCCACCCCCTCCCCCACCATCCACTCTGACTGCAAATCAAAAATGGCTGGTCGAACAAATGATCACGAGCTTTTAGTGTTAGCTTGCACTAACAAGACACTTGCACTGCAGGCTACAGTGACTGCACCTAAAATGTTTTTACCTCTATAACGAATATAATTGTTGAAATAAAACTGTTAGTAATACTTACATTCAAACACCAGCTCAACCAACTGATTAAGTTGATGATACCTGAGTAACATATAAATATAATTTCTTTATACTGAAGGCTAGTTGCTTCACAATCATCTGAATCCTTTTTTTAAATTGAGTTATTTGCTTGCAGTACTTGTAAAACTTATAACAAACTGGTCATACAAATGTTGAAAACATAACAGACAAATTTCCTTGTGTGAGGGATAGATGTGATGTGCACAAGCATGGCTGGAAAATCCCTGCCAGATGTAAGCTGAAAAACCAAAAAGAGGTGAACAAGACAAACCTCTGAAGTCGAAGTGCTAAATCTAATTTTTTACCCTTACCATGGTTTGTCCTGTTGATCCACTCCCAGTTAGCCAAGTGTGAGACAAATATTGTCCAAATTTCTTTTGTTTTTTTGTTTTTAAAGCAAAACTTAGCTCTTTTTTTTTTTACAATATTTAAATCAATTTCAAGTGATTTCTACTTTCAAATTAATATCCAATTTATTACTATATTTTAAGGTTTTGAAAATTTTTAGATGATAGGGACACATTTTTCTTTTTACTTATATTTTTAACAATAACAAAACTAACCAGGCGACTGGTTAATTATTGAGGGCCTCACTGAAAACTGCTTGCAGGGGCAATCTGGGTTCCCTCATTAAATATCATTATTTGTTATTATCATTATTACTATTATTATTATTATTACTATCAAATAATCAGTTATAGGCTGTATCAACAACAGCTCTACATGCTAGTACCAGATCCCTGCTATTTTTCCTTTGACACATTTGGATTTTGACCAAGATCCTGGAACAGGATAACCATCTAAGGTCAATATATTTTATAAACACAGAAAATTCATACAGTGTATCTTCCAACTCACCTATTGTAACATTAAATTTCATATTATATCCATAGTCAAAATGTATGAAGCCCAAATAGAAAACATGGGTGCAGTAAATACTGCATAGAAGTAATCCAATGAGGAAACAACTACAAGAAGAGTAAATGATATGCATATTTGAATGCAGGGCATAAAAGCTTGGGTTAAATTAACAGTGCTAACAAAGATAAAAATTATTGGAAAGGAGTAAATCAAGAGGATAATTGGAGGATCCATAATAAAATGGTTGTCTCTCAATTAATACTCTGTACATCTTCAAGGTTGTTGTAATAAAATATAATATATGTATGATCTGAACAACCTAATAGGGCAGCTGAATTGAATTGTTTTCTTGGCAAGCGTGGCATGTTGCAAAGCAAATTAATGATATATCCCAGAATGCTAAAGAGAATGCACCCAGACCCCCCTAGAAGGGAGGAGGGGATCCAGGTGCATGCTCTTGCAGCAGAAATATTTGAAATTTGAAACTAAGATGTGATTTCCAGCATCTTGTGACATATTTGTTGCAATTAATAACTTTTGTTAGCCAGACAATTATGTTTGAATCAGTTCAAAAATACTTATTTTCTGTCTTCAGTTGATCACAATTTACAAAGCAGCTGGCGCAAAATGGTCTGACAGCCAGTGGGTCTCTACTGCCTTCCCACTTCTAATGACAACCCTGCATCTAATATTTAGATAGAGTGTGACTGTATATTTAAAGTTATTTGTGAAGGCTGATCAGCAATTTCCTCAGCAATGATGTGGCATGCCAATTGAAAGTAATTTTAACCATTCCAACAATAGCATACCACTGCAAAATTCAAGAAGTCACCACACTGTTCTCATCCACTTTTAAAAATGATTATTTTTATTTAAGTTTAACATACCTCCACTTATTTTCCAATCCAATGAACCTGTTCAGGGCCATAAACAAAATTGTGTATAAAAAATTGTCATTAATTATTATTTATAATACACAGCTTTTTTTAAAATTGGGGCTGCAATGAATGCTGGATTGGCAAACCCTGTACCAGGTTCCTCAAGGGGTATGTTGTTGGAGCAGAATTGTGGTATAACAACCTAATTTACAGACTTCTGCACAAACCCACAATAAAAGGTTTTTGTTAAAATTTTGTACCTTTCAGGATGTCTATGGTCATTTTAACATTCCCACACAGATCAATAATCTTCTCAGAAATCATGGAGGAAAAAAGGTTTGCAGACATAAAATTTGCAGACATAAGAATTTTCAAGGCTCTTTATAAATCTGCATCTCACACACCAACAACAAAGATCAAGGCTGCACGAAACAACATGCCTCTTGAGGTACCTAGTCAGGGTTGGCCAATCCCGCAGCATTCATTTGGATGCAGTATTACCAAAGTTGTGTATTATATTAATTTTAAAAGTACCACTATGCAAAAACCCAAATGTAACAGCTCCCCTTTAAAAACAAACTATTAGAAAATTCACTGTATATGCTGGATTTTTTTGTCTTTCATTTTTCAACAGTTTTATCTTAAGTTTTTTTGAGAAAGCTATAAAATCTTAAATATTTTATTTGATTTGTTTCATTGTTCCTGCAGACCAATTGGATTAATTGGAAGGATCATCACAGATTTCAAAATGGATGTACTATCTAATACAATGCTTAATATTACTAACCTCAACATGCAGGCAAAGAAAGAGAACATAACCAGAGATGTGGCACAGAAATAATCCATTTTCTGAAAGAATATAGTTGTAAGTGTTAAAAAAAAAGGGGATCAACAGTGAGCTTTCACCAAGAATGTCTCAATGAAAATTTCATTTATGGCCAGTTCTAAGAATTTTACACAGCAAATTACCGAGTACATGTACACTATCAATGTTTCTGAAACACTGTCAGTAATCATCATAGTCATATTACTTATAGTGAGATCATAATTATAATGAAATTGTTTCTTATAGCCTTATTATAAACTGTGACAGCAATTGTGTAAATTAGTGATGAACAACACTACTTCTCCAAGTGCTGTCTACATTTGAATTTTATGTTTACCCTAAAGCTTGCACTCCCAAGATCTCATTAGTATCTCTCCTTACTGCTTGCCTTACAATTCTCATGTTAGTTCTGAGAATTTGTTGTTGGATCAACCAATAATTCCCTAATTGATATTTTTCTTTGTTTTCATCACTTTTCTGCTTGACATATTATCAATATTGTGAGAACAAATTTTGTCTCGGTCACCCATGGCAACTGGTAATTGGGTCTATGACAAAGATAACTTGGGCTTATTTGTAACAGTTACTCTCACTGAGTCCTCAAAGACAGTCCATGAGTGTGTTACTGTCCATTCCAATACCAAAGCACATAAAACAATGTGCATTGTACATAGTCCTGACCATCATCCCACAATCAGAACACCAAATAATGCTCATAGTGGCAGAAAGATTACCTCAGTCCAGTTCAAATCTCGTGTATGAAACACTGTTGACCAGAACCAAGCATTTAGACACACCTACATAAAAACAATAAATTGGTCAAAAATAAGAATTAATTCCTCATCTATTCAGTTACTGTTACTTTCTAATGATATCAAAATCCTACAAGTTTAGAAACTTTTGAATCATTGTACACACTAAAAAAACATGGCTGGTCATAACTTTCTCCAAATTGTTGGACACATGTTAGAAGCTCACTTTTCATTTATTTCCAAGGTGATTTGAATTCTGTTACTAATGACTGTTTTCAAGGACTATAAACTGCGTCACAACTCCATGTATGGATGTGAAAACAAAAGGAATTCCCCCGTGTACCGGTACACCAGGACAGCCCCGTTTTCAAGGACTATAATTGGGTTAAAAGTAATTCTCAGCCACAATTGAACTTTAAATTGAGTACTGTAAGTTAAAGAACACCCCTAACAGGAAGCAAATTACCTTTTGTTATTTGGCACAAGTTAGTGTTTTAATCAGAATCACAGAACAAATTAGCCTTACCACCAAATTTGCTTTCCATACTGGATACATGCTATAGTCTGTGTTTGGTACAGAAGACTTGAACATTCTCCATCCAAGGAGATGGCCAATTGCATTAAAAATTGAAAATAGGACTGATGCAGGCTCTTGAATTCCAAGAAATCGTACAAATGGCCACTAAAAATTTAAAAGACATAGTAATTTAGCTATGTTTACAAGCAATCCTTGGCTGGTAGTTTGTTGACTAATGAGTAAATTATCTTATAACTAAATATAACCAGGTATAAAGGGGGTAAGTTTCTAAAGAAACTGTGGTGCTGCATTGGTGGGGGAGTTAATAAATTGGCCACTGTAAAGAGGCTGACAGTTTGAGTTTTAGCCCTATGTCAGAGCAATGACCGAGGGCTAACACATGAAAAATCAACTTTTAAACTCTTGCTTATGGTTGCCAATTTACGTTATCAACTCAGTTGATAATACTAAATTACCCTGTTATAACTAAGTTTATGATCCATCAAATATTTTTGCTCCTGTGCTTTTGGTCTAGATGCAGCACATGACAAAATATCTCCCACCTAAAACTGGGTGAGCAATATTTCCCAATTTTTAAGCCTCACAAACTCTAAAATAAGTCTTTGTTTCAAATTTAATAGAAGATGAGAGAGAGTTTTGTGCTTGTTACAGAAGGGAAATCTTTTTTTTGTTCATTAAGTCATATCAGGGTGCACTAAAAAAAAAACATCCCATGCTGTATACAGTAAGCTTTTCATAAATACTTTTTGACACAATTTGCAAAATATCCAAAGGATAATGAACACAATAGCCTCTATATTGCATGAAAATATGTGCGTATTATTTGTCCTTGGACTTTATCTGTTTCTCAGAGCTCACAGTTTTCCTTGAATTTCACTCTCCAAAAAAATTGTTCTTGGAACAAATAATGTCTGCAGACAAATATCCCTAGTATATATTTTTGCACAAAATAGGTTATTTGAGGTTATAAAAAAATAGTGGAGTGAAGGAAGGAAAGAGAGACAGATAAAAAGGTATAACATACATGTACAGCTTTTAATATGTTCTTATTGAGGGCTGGATGGGAAAATATTTGGCTTTAGCTCATAACATAAAGACCAAGGGTAGTGAGGTCTGATGGTCATGACCAAACTCAGTCAGTAAGTACTTCACCATATGACCACTAACTGTTTAAAATTTTGTTTCAATCTAAACAGGATGCAACAGACAGGCCTCGGACAACCACAAAAAAAAAAGAAAAGATTCTACAATGAAAACTTTTCAATTGTTGTTTTAAGTTATAACTAGAAATTCATAATTCATCAAAAAATGAATATTTTGCTACTCTTTCTTTTTTCTTTTTAAGTTTTTGCGACAAAACCGCATGAGTGCAGAGCTGGATGGCTTTTTCAGGACCAGCTCATGTCAATCCATCTAGCCCTACACATGCCAGCTTTCATTATGGTTTTCTATGGGATTGTGCTGACAGGGCTATGCATCATAATTAGTTACTGTATCTCTGAGGCACTACAGCAGAATCAGTATGCAATGAAGTCCCTTACTTTGCCATAATATTGCTTGACTGGTTGATTATTTCTCACGTCATTTTGTGTGATATTATGCATACACTGGTACTTGCATTCATCAGAACAATCCCACCAAAACAGAGTTAAATATATTGGCAGCTTTCCAGGGTACTCATCAAGGTGACATCCTTTAAAACATTTATTTATACAATGACGAAATATGGAACTTCTATCTCCACTTGAGCTTTCAACTGGGTTGCAAAGCAAGACTATTAACAAAATACTGCTCTGTATTAACAAGACAATAGAGCTGCAAAACAAAAAAAAATTACTGTGAGGACGTTTCACTTCCACAGAGTGATCTCAGCCCAAAAGCTCCATAGCAGTTTTGAAACATGGAAATCTGAAAATATCTTGAGTTATTTTTTGAGAGATTTTTCTATAACCCCATACTATTCTGAAACTAATCAAAGTTATACCAAAATTCTAAAATTTAAGTACTAATGGGACAGAATTTGTACCAGGCTTGTAATTGACAGTTGAAGTGTTATGCCTGTGAGATTGGAATTGTATGCTTCATGCATGTGCACCATGCACAATTAAGAAATTGGACTCCCACTGCGTGTTCATGGGATTATGTTAATCACTCATGTTTTAACCCTTTCACTCCCAAGATTTAATTAATAATTCTCCTTACTATCCGCCATACAATTCTTCTGATGTAAGTTCAGAGAATTTGTTATTGGATCAACTAATAATCCCATAATTGATATTCTTCTCTATTCTCATCACCTGCCTGCTTGATATTGTATTGATATTGTAAGGAGAAATTCTGTCTTGGTCACTGGTGGGAGTGAAAGGGTTATAAGACAGACTCCACTCAGTCCTATTACTATTACAAAGCAGTAGTACCAATGGCAATCTATTGTTCTTCCATTGCTGTCTTTATCCAAGAATTGTAAGCATAATAAAGTAAGTGGTTGCACCAAAATCTTGCCATATTCTTTTACTTTCAATCACATCCCACTCACAACCCTTCCATTTGTTTATTGATCAATTTGCTCATTCTCATTGAATATACTTTGGTTTAAGGTTTCCCTTGTAACTAACCCACCCATGAGTTTCATACAATTTTACTGGCTACTTTGCATCACATGCTGCAAAATTGCCAGACATTTATAATGCAATATCTATCCTTCCATTATTTCCATTGAAAAGAGATGAAGCCAGAAGAAAAATGCCAGCTCAAAAGTTTCATCTTTTCATTCCTATTACTTTACATAGTAGAAAAACAGACTTGTTTGGTCCAGTCAAATTAAGAAGCTGGTCGCAAATATGTATTCGCCATTCAGTAGATCAACACTGACTTTTTTCTAACAAGTAATTTGTGCAAGATATGTAAACTAGGGGGTTACTAAAAAAAATACCCGTTCTCTCAGCTGTGGACATTATCAGCCAACATGCCAACCACCTGAAGAGGTCTGTCTACTAAAAGGCTTAGGACCTGTTTACATGGAGGTGGGGGACCCCAGGTAAGTGAGGTAACCCGCTTAGTTGTGGTCAAAAAATAAAACATGTTTACATATAATCTTATAACCCTGGGGTGCTGGGGTGAGGTTTCTTGAGGTTGTTGTTGTGCTTGCAATTAAGGAGTTTGAGCAGAGGCATCCCAAGCTCACGTCTCAAGAAAGAGGAAAGATTAATTCTCAGACACGTATGTATTTATTCATGAAAGCGTCACGCACTGTGTTAAGCGGTGTTAGGCTACATGAGGAACCATTGACTTAATACATTATAAGGATTAGTTTAAATATAGTCAATTTACAATGCTAAATACTCGGAAATGTGAACATTTTACACTCCTTGTATGTCCGTTGCAGTTTCTAGTGATTTCTGCCATGAGACGGCCAGGAAGTATTCAAAGTTTTAAAACATGCGTGTTTTGCTTTTGAGCTTTTGCCATGAAAACAACCCCAGCTAGGCAGGTTACCCCACCTTGAGACGTTTACATGGCAAATTGTCACCCCAGCTGACAGGGTTACCCTACCTGGCAGACCAGGCAACCCACCTAGATGGGTCACCCCACCTATCATGTATATGTGATCACGATAAAAAAAGAAATTATATGGACAGGCAGGTTACCCCACTTAGGTGGGTTACCTCACCTACCTAGGGTCCCCCACCCCCATGTAAACAGGCCCAAAGAAAGTCAATGTCACCCGCGGGCAGAACGAATTCAATTTGCAGCCAACAATCCGTGTTCATGAACTCCCAAAATATGTCAGTGGAAGTGAAATTTACTCAATTTGACCCCTTTTAATGGAAAATACCTAAACATGGAAAATTGATGTAGAAAGAGGAGGGGGAGTCTGGAGGATACCGTATTATGTGCATGTTCAGAACGAATACTTTTGAGTGACTTTAAATACTTTCTTCGCGCGATCAATTTCACAATTAATTATGTATATTAAGTCATGACATGTACGGCTTGCAAGCTCACAAATTTTTATTTTGCTCTGAAAATAGAGCAAAACTCAATTGTAAACGTAAAGATCGCAGGCATGGTTAGGTTGATTCGTTTCAAATTTAGGCGGGAATACTACTGTACTTGAACGAGATTTCGTGACATGATCAATCGATGGTTCTAATATGAATAATGTGCACGCACGTTCAGCAAAGTTGGGGCGTCATGGTGGACTGGGAAGTTCAAATTCTCCTTGATCCGTGACTCTTAATTTTCATCACTGAGAAAAACATCACTGGTAGTTTTTTAAGTAAATTACGCCTACGAATCGAAGCCTCTCAAAACGAGTATGAGATATCGGCACAGTTCAGCCTACCTCACTTTCATTGTCAAACTGTTTGCCAACTCCAGGATCAATTGGTACAGTGATAATGCAACTGCAAAACAATCCTCTTATTCGGGTGACGTAAAAGAAGCAATCTTCATTCCATCATTTAATCTTCCGCAGACCCAGGAAGTCCAACTATCAAACTGTACAACATCATTCACTAACGCTGATCAGTAAGAACTACGAACTCAAACCCTTTCTCCCAGTCTTTTTCAACTAATATATCGTGCGCCTGTCGTGTTTTTGCCTTACAGCCACATAGTATCGCGTTACATGGCTTTTCCGAGAAGTACAGCTACATTTGGTTGTTTTTGGTCGTGTTCACATTACTTTTTAAACAGGGGAAGCCCTTGCTCAAGGTTAGTATCAGATTATTATTAAGACTGACGGGCAAGAAAGGTGTCGCTGTAAATATCTTTTCTTCATTGAGTTATGTAATCGTTTCTCGGTCATAATATTTGCATCGTGTTGTGTTGCTGTTTTAAACACCTGGATCAACTGGAGAAGGGAGTGCCTCTTTGCAAGCAGTTAATAGTTTGTGGCTCTCTATGAAAGTATGAAAGAACAAAGATTTTAGCTGGTTTAAAGTCAAGCGACATAAAAAGAATAACATCACATGTATATTGCAGTGAGGACTACAGTGTAAATCACTTATCAGAAATCCCAAACCATGCAATTACCCCTCCTTATTGTTATTTTATCTGCAGGGCTTTGGGAACGTCCTTGCATTCGTTGTTTAAAACAACTTCAGGTTTGACAGATTTCTTTTTTCTGTAAAAAAATGAGTGTTTGATGTTTATAAGATATGATGTAATAAATACAGTTTATATAGCAGTTATTGCAAGCCTCAAAGTGTTTTCCAATATGAAAAAGAAAAATGTCTAGGGTAATTTAGTATTATCAACTGAGTTGATAACATGTATTGGCCATAATAAATAGTTTCAAAGTTGATGTTTCCCTTCATCAGAGTGAATACCCTATTAACCTATTTTCTACATTACTACATATTTTATAGACATCTAGAGTTAAAACTTAGAAACAAAAACTCTAGGAGTAGATCACTCCTGTCAAAAACTACAGGGGTTCAATGTAAGCTCATTACTGGTAGTCTACTGCCATCTGTAAGACTTCTCACCACTCTCCAGCCTGTAAAAAGGTTCTTGTGTTTGGGTTTTGCCTTACAGCACAGCTGCCTAATATTTACACCATCAAAAGCTGCTTATGGAAAAAGTAATTGAAGCCTCTGCAGATATCTATCGGATTCCAAACAACATGTGTTTTTAATTAAAGTTTACCTTTTACACTTAAAAAAATTGCTTTAAGTACCTTAAAGCAAAAGTTGTGGAGCTCTCTGTGACTAATTTATCATCAATATTTTAAAATGTGTAAAAACATTTTCTTTGCATAATTTTTTCTCATTATTTGCAATACGTAATATTTTTAACATATGTTTATCTGTTTACATCGTGAGTAATTAATAATTATTTAGTTATTTGATGCATCATTTAGAGTTTCTTTTAAACAGGTGGTACACATTCACTTCGTCTCATGTCATCGCATTCCAATGGAGCTGAAAGCAGTAGTTCTCACCTTGAGAGGACAGAACATTCACCAAGACAGGAGGTGACGAAGTTAGCTGACAAAAGATAAAAATAAAGACAGTTAATGATTTAGACCCAGGAGTAACTTGTGATCTTGTAGTCTGATCATCAAGGTGAGTGTAGTCCTGAGAAGGACTGTTGTCAGTAGAACCATATTTGGCAACCATGCGACAACCTACCACTGATAAGGGTCCTACTCAGGACTACACTCACCTACATAATCAGGCTACATGATCAAAAAAAGAAAGCAGTCATTACTTAGAGCACTTAATTGACTAACAAAGTAATCTATTTAGTACAGAACCATTTTATACTCCTGGATGTAGAGATCAAAGCACTGTGAAAGTAAATTATTTTGCCCAAGAACACAAAAAGATGCCTTGGCCAGGTCTTGAACCTGGACTTCTCTACCCAGAGTCCAGTGCAGTGATCATCAGGCCAGCATGTCTCCCAACTATTTGATAATTTCCATCCACACATAAGACCTGTAAGCTTAAGTTAGCTGTCTGTGGGGGTTTGACTTCACTTAGATGATAATTACTGCATTCTCTTTACCACAGTTTTTAGTGCAAGGTACAGTAACAGAGATGACTCAGTTGTCAAAGACTGTTAAGGGACTTTCCATAGAGGTGAAAGACAGAAGATTTTCATTTAAATGCGGACAATGGTGAGCACCTACATAGTAATCTTTTAAACAAATGGATGAGTAGAAATGATGTGCTGCTCCTCAACACACATTTTTGTCATTGAAGAAAACTATAGAATTTTTAATTACTACCAACAGAATAATAATAATCTTTTATCCAAATGTGACAGCTGAAAATTTGAACCTCTGTATCTAGTAATTACCACTGGATGTTGAAACCATTAATATTTACAGGCGCTTGTTGTAATAGATTGTGTGAAAAAAAGTGTAGTCCTCTTTTTCAGTCTTATTTTTATTCATTCCAACAAGCAATTATTATTTGGAGGAGGATACATGTATATGTATTGAACAATGAGTTTGAATGACTTTTCCTTTGCTAGTTTGTTTACTATTAAACATGAAAATCCAGCAGGAGTGTATTTTTTAGACTTGCAGTTTAAGAAAACTGAAATTTCTTCCGGTAATTATTATTATTTTTTGATTCTCTGTTCAGAAATAAACAATAACTAAAAAGAGGAAGCTTATGAAGTTTTTAGGTGTATTGTTTCAAGATGGATGTTTCAAGGGATTCTTAATCCTTTTCTCGCTAAGAGTGATAGCATCTATTTCCTCCTGACAATGTCACCCCTGAATCAAACATCAAGGTCACAAACTGAAGAAGCTATTGATTGTAAAACAAATTCTCCTTGTAAGTATGTCAGGAAATGTATAGAGATAAGTGTGGAGAACTTGAATACTGATGTTAGGGTGTAAAAGGTTGATTTGCATCCATAATTTTCCATTTCACAAAAAACTTATTTTTGCAGTTTAAGGACAATCAAGAAAAGCTGCAAGAACTGAAAGCTGTGAAATATTCTTGCCACATATGCAACTTTTTTTTTCTCTCCATCAGGGTGGATTTCTTTATTCCAGGAGTTCCTACTGTGGGTGGGTTTACCATATGTTCCAGCCACAGGCTGCTTAAAGAAAAAAGATCCATAGACCTTGCTGTCAAACACAGCGAACATCCTCCAGCCCTTTGGGTTCACACTCAGGTGTGTACAGAAATATGGATACTTAGTTGGCACAGAATGCCTTTATTTATAAGGCAAGCTATAGCTGTTAGGCCCATAGGAGTGACTAGTATCTAATTTCTCCCCATGTTATCACCTGGAAATCAGACATTAAGGTTATGAGAATAAAGAAAATGATCACCAACTAAAGGAGCTCTTGATTGTTAAACAAATTCTCCCTATCAGCAGCTTACACAATTTAGGAAGAACAATAAGGAGGATGTGAATAATGATGTTAGGGTTTAATGTAAAGCATCAAAAAATTATTATTAATCTTTTATAATTTAAGAGATCAGATAGAGGTTATAAGGTTGATAGGCAGGGTCTTCTTATAGATAAACAAAGTATACAATGTAGTCTGGAATGAACAGCCTAGCATGCTTCCTCACTGAAGAAGTAAAGCACTGATATTTGCTGCTTGAAATAGGCTATGAAGTGTAGACCATGAAAGTCCTTAACCCTTTAACTCCCATGAGTGACCAAGACAGAATTTCTCCTCACAATATCAATACAATATCAAGCAGACAAGTCATGAAAATAAAGAAAAATATCAGCTAGGGGATTATAAGTTGATCCAATACCAAATTCTCCAAACTAACATCACAAGGTCAGTATGGCAGACAGCAAGGAGAATTACTAGTGAGATCTTGGGAGTTAAAGGGTTAAAATTATATTCAGTGCAAACTACAGGAATAGACATTTATACTATCAAAGGATTTTCAGTTTTCCCCTTGAAGAGTAATAACTAACCAAATAGCAGTTTTCAGTACATAATTTGCCAAAGATATAAATGTTTGTGTTGAAATTATTTGTTGAGTGCCACTTGTACGGGTCCTAGTAAATCAAAATAGGGGGTTATACTTCATGCTTATGAAGTTGTCTCCTTTTTATCCATATTAGTGTCAAGTTGGCAGTAAAGTTCATATGAAAGTCGGGGGAGAGTGTTATTTTGACCCAAATCCTGAAGGCTCCAGTCCAGATCTGCTTCTGATTGCTGGTGGTGTTGGAATCAACCCCTTGTACTCCATTGCACAACATGTCGCTGACATTTCCTCTGATGCTAGCCATCAGTACGATGGGAAAACAGTGCTTCTGTTTAGTGCTAAGAACCAAGATGAACTGCTGTACAAGGTACACTACAATTTATCTTAGAATACATAATTTGATCTTCAATGGTAAAATGCGGGAAAGGTGGAATTTGTGATATGTTTTTGACAATTATCTATTTGAATTATTGCCTCTTTAGTCAAGATTTTCAGACTGAGAAGTATTTCTTTGAAGTCCTTCAAAAAATTAAATTCTATCGCTTGCAACGCGCTTAGTTCAACTTTAAACACGGAGAGAAATGGAATGACAGACTGCTGATATCTCTCCATTTCGGTCTGACTTAAAAGTTCTCTTTTGTCGTTTACAACTTCCCCTTTTAAGCCACTGTGTGAATGACCTGTAAAGGATCGATAAATACAGTATGGCTAGTGAGAAAAAAATTATGTATTTGTTTACAAACTCAATGAACCATGCAGATGTTTGCATGTAGCCCTGTTTATTTTGAATTAAAAAGTAGCTTTGGAATTGTATTTTTTTTATCTTGTTAGTGTGACTGTTTGTTTCTTATTCTGTCCTCTTTTGTAGGATAATCTTTTGAAAATGTCAGAACAGTGCCCATCTATACTCTGCAAGTTTTTTGTCACAAAACCAGATGCTGATACACAGACAAACGTGAACAGCGTTCAATGTAAGTGATCGTAAAAACGTATCTAGTTTCGGTTTTTGGCTTGAGTGTAGTTACAATTCAGGCCTACTAGCCAGCCCAAACTCGGAATATTCTAGTACTCATTGTCATGTGAGATTTTGTGAGCTATTGAGTGTCTGAGGTAATCCGAATTTCTTTGGTTACACTTTACTCCGCTCTATGACTGTTCCAACAAGATCCAAAACGAAAACCTACACAATTCGGTTTTCCCGCGCTTTAGGCAGTTTGGTTGGTTTTTATCTTTAGTTTTCATTGGCTCTTAACACCGTCCTTTCATATGATTGGCTCTTGTGATAACTTTTGTTTTGCTTTTACGACACTAGACCGAAAAAGCGCAGTAGTTTCTGATCTTTGAAGCTGGCACGCACTGTGGTATTCAAACGACCAGGAATTAACAATGAGAACATGAAGACAAATAATTTTTTATGTGTTTACAAACGTTACAAAATTTGAGTGTTGGAAGCTCGTTGATTCCCGTGTCTTATTTTGCCCACCTTCAAATTGCTAGGTGAACGTGGTCGTATCAACGAATCGCGACTACAAGAAGCTGTGTCCTCTCTGGACAGGAATAGATTAATTTGTTACATCTGTGGTCCTCCCCCAATGATCCAACAGATAACTGAAATTTTGTACAAGATGGATATTGAGGAAAGCAGGATACTCTTTGAGAAATGGTGGTAGCAAGACTTGAAGCTTCCTCATTTTAGGTACGACGGAGAGAAGTACAGAAAGCCATGCCATTTGGTGAACAAGTGACAGTCGCCCTCATCAGAAACATTGCATCGGAAAAATACGTAATCCCTGAGAGTAAAGGGGGAATTTTTTTTAAGGGAGACACTGAAATTTTTTCTTGCTACTTTGATCGAGTATTGGGAAAGAAAAACGTTTTGGCAAACCTTCGTCAAAACGTTGGCAGTATTTAAAATCTGATCACTCACAGAAGTGATTTGAGGTGCGAGCGTTTAGAAATATAGCAATCATTGTCATGCCTGGTTGCATTTCTAACATGGCAGAAGATTGTTTAACCCTTTAACTCCCAGAAGTGATTAACATAAAACTACTACAATATCCATATATTCTTCAGCAAACAGGTAATCAGAATATTCAAACTTTCAGGTAGAAGCTGCTATCTTGATCTAGCACCAAGTTCTCATGACTAATTTACAAGGAAATGTGCAGCAGCTACAGGGGAGAATTAACAATCAGATTTTGGGGGTTAAAGGGTTAAGATTGTTCTATGAAATTAAAAATTTATTTAAGCATCAAGAAAATTTAATTTGAGCTAAAGTTATAACTTTTGTGTTTCTTTATGAATTGTAAGTCGAATTATGAGCTCCTCCAAGTTCATCGAAATTCCATATCAAAAGAAACCTTAAATAAATGATTTCGAGTGCAATTTGGTTAAAATTACAACAAAATTACACGAGCCCCTTGGACCAAGTGCTATTTGAAAAATTTCATAAGTACTTATTTCACCAAATTGCAAGAGAAATCATGTTATTACTTGTTAATAAACAACGTGAAAAAACATCACAGAAAGTCAAGAAAGACGAAATTTTAAAAGCGTGCGCGCGCTATTTGTAATTATTTCATGCGGGTTACAACTTTGCATCCGTGATACAACTTTGCACTAGTGTTTTTCGCTAATCAGAAGCGCGTAATTTTTTCGTGTATATTATTGTTAAAGTAGATAAAGGATTGATAATAAATTTAGAAGCTTTTGTTTATTCATTAAAAACAGCTTACATGAACATTTTTTCCTGAAAACGGTAAGGTACGCTTTGGTAGCTTTGGTGGCAGCCTTTAAAGAGGTGCATTTGACAAAGCAATTCAATTTTGAAAAGACGGACGAACCTAACAGAGAACTCGTTAGAAAGCTTGTGATATGATTCGTCCTGTTTACATTTAGATAGAAAGAGTGAAAAATGGTAATTTTTGGGCTTTTAAGAAAGAGAAACGACAGTGAGGCAAGGAAAAACTCTGATTACCCGATAGGGTTCGAACCTCACACCTGCGTGACCCTCCATAACTCTGCCGTAAAACAGTTTCGATTTTTGCTGCTTGCAAAAACAATTCATAAATCGAAAAGGAATAAGTCAACTTTCTGACAACTTAGACCACGAGGGATGGAGCTCGAGTTCTATTTCCATTTACAAAAACACAAAACAAAAAAAACAAGCTATCGTTTGATTAGTCTTATTTTATATGCAGAAGAGAACAGGCGAATTCTTGACTAAAGCGCCTGACAATATATTTTTTTTGATGCGTTAATATTTTGCCTATCATATCTACAAACCAAGTCCGGTAGGAGAAAATTTAAAAAAACTTTAAACTCGGTTTTTTCGGGCCCTAAAGTGCTCTCATTTTCTTAAAAGTGTCCCATGAACTGGTAACGAATTAGCTGATGATAACGTAGAACGCTGTGAAAACTCTCAGTTGACACTTACAAATCTCTAAAAACTCTTGTAATTTTGTATCAGTCAGCGTTGAAATACACTTGCCCGATAGCGATGTATACTTACCTTCTGCAAGCTCTACTGAGAGTTGTAATACATCGTACTCAAGTGGTAAAGGAGAAATGGAAGTTGCGAATACGGCTCACCCCTACGAAGGAGAACTGCGTGCATCCGAACGAAGATTTCGACGAAGACTGACAAGGATGGTTTCTCCCCTGCGGAGTTCAGGGCAAGATTTGAACAAAAAACTCCCGTTACTGAATGTTTAGTTCATCGTGTTTGTGTTTTGTTTTCTATGGGGAAATCTATGTTAAGAATGGGTAGCTGTGTTCGTTTCTGTTGCCATAACATTTTATTCCTTCGAACGTTCCCCTTGGTCAGTGCTCTAGAGTTTCGTTGCCGCAGAGTAATTCTCTTAGCGAACCAAAAGCTAATTTTTGACGAAAGAATCAGCTGTATCACGAGGCACGATGATTTTTCGCCGAGAAGTGATCGGACAGTTTCACTGCAAGTTGCTCCTTTCCTCGGAGATTGCAAAGGCAAAGGCTATCGTCGTCGAGCCGGTCAAATGGAAAACGAGTGAGTTTATAGACATCAAATTAGTCTCAAATAGGGATTTTGATATAGAAAAACTTCTACAAATTGTTTAAGTGCAGCATTTCCATATGACCCATGTCGCTCAATGGCAAATAACTGACATCAGTATTGTAAGTGGATACTTCGTATGCATAGACTTTCACACAGCGCTTGAATTCATTACCACCTGATTCAATAAAATTTCAATTTCTTTATTTATCTCGTTGTAGTGCTGTTATCACAATGATATTGTTACTGTGGCTACTCTTAATTTCTTGAGGGCAGGGGGAACTGAGAGCTCTTGGGATGAATTTTCGGAAACCTAGGTTAGGAGAATACAGCGGCGGCCTCTTAGAGGTTGTGTTTCTGCTAGTATCCGCCAGAGGTTTTGCACTGTTCACGCAACAGGATATCGGTCAGCACAGGAAAGGGCTTGAGTTTGGCTTGCACTTTGTTTCCGTTATTAAAATGCGATGGAAACTGCAAATGGTAGGATTTTCATACGATAAGAAAAGCGCAAATGTAGTCATGTGGAAAGACAAGGAGTATGAGTACATCTCAAGCAAGTCAAATTAACGTTAACAACAATAAGGAGCTCACCTTTCTTCGCTTGCGAAATGTCAGCCGAAGAGAAAATTATGGTGTACGGTGTGGGAACAGGCCCCTTAATCAGCATTCTTTTTAGCAGAATTCATTGGTTATCTTTCCCTGATTTGACTCTTGGTTTGTGTTCGTAACAGCCGTCTTCGAAGCCGGTACGGAGCATAAGGCAAACGACATTGAAGAGCAAAATCTCCTCGATGTCGACGATCGAAACGCGTCCATTTTGGCTATACAGCTACATTTTTTGGAAAGCAGTGTTTAGAAATACCCGGTATATGTGTATTATTCTTGTAGCTAACATTATTTGGTGCTCCGGCCACGCGATACGTTTCCTTCCTTCAAGATTTCTATTTTCTCCGCCATGGTTGCTGACGTATCTTCATCGTTTTTACGTCACAGCTGTGTAACATGATCGTTTTAGCCGTGCGCCTGATGGGGACACTCTTTGGCCGCCAAATCGTACTTTCAATGCACAAAAAAAAAAATGGTTAAGGAGAACCGACTAGGCGCTAAGGTCAATTACTTCTAATTTAGAATACAGCTATTAACCAGAAAACGCAAAAAAAAATTCGTTTTATACGCACTTTAAAAGCTTTTGAATAAATTTGTGAAGAACCCGTTGTGCTGCGTCGCTAAGGAAATAAGTTACTTTTAAGTGAAAATTAAACGACATATCATAAGCAACAGCTTCTCGCCCGTGTCCACTCATTACAACCTGACGCTCGCCAGTTGGAGTAACGTTCCATTCATTACCTTAGTCCCATCCGATCTAGATTTTTCTTACAAACACCCACTCGTTCCAGTCCATACTTTGTTACAACGCTCACGGTTGCGGAACAAGTGGTTGTGAGCAGTTGTGAACGCAACTTGACGCTCTCGACCCTGCTTACGAAACGTTCGATAAGCATTTCCTAAGGAAGGACTTTTATAGTACAGTTTACGTCTGGGGGCATAGATCTGTCCCATCCTTGTTAATAATACTTTTCCAACAAAGCTTCACACAAAATTCCAGCACATTCCACCGAAGTTTGACGCACGGGGCGTGTATCCGGTCAAGTAGCGATCGTACTGCTAAGGTGATGTGTCATTCTATTTTCATAACCTTATATTTCTTAATGCTCTTGCCCAAGATTAAATAAGTCAGACCGACAGAGAGTAAACGCTAATTTAACTTGTGGTGCTGAGAGAAAGAAATCTTAGAAGTTCTTGGAATTTTTTTCATTTTATACCGAATTAAGGATTGATGGCTCCGTACACTTCCGATGAGACGTTGTGAGTATTGACACAAGAATAAGTCCAACCATAAACTTCATCATAGTCTTTACCGCCCTTGAATTCGTCAATATTGTGTTAGCTTTTTATAGTTTTCTTACTCTCGTGAAATTCTCGATAAGGTTTGTACAATATGGACGATTAGTTTCATGATCACGCATAAGTTTATTTTTATTTTGGGTTTCTATGCCACATGTGATCTTTTCACTGTTCTCGCAATATAAACTAATTATTATCGGCAAAACATATGGGGTCGTGCAAATTTAATTCTGTTTGCGTGGTCTGATTCATCTCACGCTTATGCACTCCACATAATTGCGATATACAAGCAATCGTGGTCAATTATTCTCTCTGAAGTTCCAGTGAGTAAAAATTATTCTACCTACATATAATTTCCTAAGAATACTACTCTCAGTATCACACTCTTGGACTTTGGCAACCAATCTTAGCTGAAAGTGAAAATCTAGCGAGGTTTGCTGTTCAGCACAGCCTTGAAAAGACATGTAAATCTAGTTCAGGAGTGTTTGTTATTGTAAAAGTGACAAAGGAACAAGTTTGATCTTCTTCATCCAATAATTTATGTTAGCTTAACATCATGCTTGAACAAGTTCCTTTGAATGGTGACCTATTAACTCTTTATTTTTCAACACAAAGATATTGTTGTGTAAACAATCATTCATCTAAAATTTATCTAGAAATTTGTTATTAATTAGGTTTCTGTTTTAAAGTCAGTTTGTTGATTTGGCACCACTGAATCAAACATTCCTACATCAATATGTTTTTGAAAAGCTTCATCAATAGAATTGTTGTTAGTTATTGTTATGAATTAGACATAATTATGAAAGCATACTTGCATGTGATTGTCATGCAATGAAATTGTACATGAGAAATTAAGTTAAGGTCAGCATTTGAATCCTACCTTCTTCTTCTTTATGAGACCAAAGATTATTGAATTATTTTTTTTTTCCCAGTCACTAAGCTACTGAAATCGTTCAATGAAAATGAAAGTTCAGAGAAGCAAAAACCTTGAAGCATAGTACTTCCTGTTTATTTCAGATCAAGAACTTCAGTTATGGAAATGGAAGAGGAGGTAAGTGATCATCAGCAAAGTGCTGAGGTGACTCCAGCCAGCAGTGAGAATGACCTTCTGGAAAATAAATCGGAGGACAGCATTGATGATGATGATGACGACGATGAAGATGATGATGATATTGATAAAATGTTGAGTGAGTTGCAGACTTTCCAAGAGGTAAATTCCTTGTTCTGTTTTTTATATTATGTCAAGTTCAAAAGATCTCTGTGTTGGCGTAGTGGGAGGGCTGGATAGGAAAGTATTTGGCTTGTGATCATGATGCACAGACTGAGCACAATGAAGTCTGTGCTGTGCGTCATGACCAAGAGTGAAAAATTTTCCAATCCAGCCAGACCAAACTCAGTCAATAAGCATTTTATCATTTGACCACTGATTGGTGAAAAATTTTGAAAAACTGTGTGTCAACAGAATTATAGGAAGCAATAAATTGGTGCATGCAGAACAACCACAAAAAATATTATGCAATAAAAACTTTTCCTTTTTTTTTTCTTGTCAGTACAAGAAACTCTCAATTCATCAAAAAAAGCACTTTTTTTCTTGTTTTCAATTTGATATTCTGTGTTTTTTTTTTCAACAAAGCCATGTGAGTGGGGGGCTGGAAGGCTTTTTTCAGACCAGCTCACATCAACCTGTCTTTTACAATAGTTTCCTCTTGGACTGGGTGCGTAGTAACTAGTTATTTGTGCTGCCTAGATACATGACTTTGTTGTTCATAGTTTTGGAACCAATCATTTTTAATAGGGTTTACAAATTTAGACATACCTTATTTACTCTTGTATAAGTCGAACTCGTGTATAAGTAAACCCCCATTTTCAAGGTCAAAAATCAAATTTTTCATCATTTCTAATCAAAGAAGTAAAATTTAGACAGATAGAAATTTCCCAAAAAGTTAATCTCTTATTTCTGATGATGTATTGAAAAAGTGCAGAGCAAAATGTAATCTTGTGCTATGAAGTTTATTAGCACTTTTTTATACCACCACAATTTAAGCATACACGAGCACTTTGATTCACTGGAGAAGTATCTTACCATATTTTGCGAATCACATTGCAAATGAAATCTTCTTGTATTTAACTAACCTTTATCTTAATGTTGAGTTTGAAAGGAGATTAATTAAGTAGTAGAAATCAGCTCCACTAGCTTTGTTTTAAGCCACTCAAAATTTATTATTTCAAACTTTATTTAATGACAAAGAATGCCCTGAAAAGTGATGAAACTCAAACACAATTATAACTGGTTTTTTAAACTCGGTTTTCTTAACAGACTTCAGACAATTGTTATGCTAATTTCTTGGATTGCTTGGGTCAAGTCTTTGTGTGTGACTCATGTATAAGTTGAAGGTGATTTTTTAGGATTTTTTTTTATCATAAAAGGTCGACTTATACATGAGTGACTCCAGTATGCATGAACTGTGACATGATTTTCTCAATATTTTAAAAAAGAGAGGGATTTTCTGAAACAAAGTAAGCTGTGGGTTTTCATTACATTCAAAAGCATTGCAGTACTGCACATAACGATATCCTCTTTAAATCATTAGAAAATAATAACTCAAGTTAAATCAAATTATTTCAGTAAACTTGCTGAATATGTAAAATAGGGTCACACTCTGGAGATAATGGTCAGAGATTAGATCAGAGACATTACTCTAACTTTGTGAAAAGGTGTATTTACTCTGGTAGTCACCATTTTTTTCTTAGCTTTCATTCAATGTCTCCATAAATTTATCACCACCTAATTGTCCAGAATGAAGATTAAAAGTAAGAGAATCTTTATATTATGGAAGGAAATTTGGAAACTATTGGAGTAAATGCATATCATGAATATTGCATGTGCATTATTAAGTTTACACAATGGTAAGAGTATTTGACTGTGTATGAAGCTGTTTTAAGAAAGTTTGTTTGATAAATTTCATGTGTCAAACCCCAAAAGGTATTGTGGGTAGTTTTCAGGTCACGGTTCCAAGACTACAGGTTTCAGGAAAATTTTAGAAAATGTCACTGTAAGGACTACAGGTCACAAATTTGATGAATTAATTTATTGAATCCACTCATTGAACTTCACTGATCACAGAATACCCAGATTACCTCAAATAAGTTTTAAGATCATCACATGCACTTTTGTCCTTTTTTTTCTGACAAGCTCTCTCAAAACAGCTGTACACAGTATACATGTACATGTTCATGACTCTTTTCAAAACTTACTTTTGTTTGCAGGAGCTTGAGCAGAAGTCACAGTTTCCAACAGAAGATGAACAGAGCCCAGGTATATCGCCATATGTACCACCCTCACAGCCTCTGGTAAGAATAACATGCCAGTAATTGAGAAGTTAAGCTGTATTAAAACTTTAAGGCAGACAGCAAAACTTGTTCACTATTAATAGTAAAATTTTTTTACTACATGTAGTTTGACTGATAGCTTTTTGGAAAAGTGTTGAAAATGAGAGTTCATTTTAATTTGCCATTGCCATTTTAATGAAGAGAAAAACTTGAAGTTAGTGTAACTTTGTTAAAAATATATATGTGTATCACATATTAACTCTTTAACTCCCATGATTGACCAAAACAGAACTTCTCCTTACAACATCAATTCCATATCAACTGGATGAGTGATGAGGAAAATATCAATTTGGGGATAATTAGTTGATCCAATACTAAATTCTCTGAACTGACATTATAAGAATTGTATGGTTGACAGTAAGGAGAATTACAAATTTGAACTTGGAGTTAAAGGGTTAAGAATCATGTTGCAAATGGAGCTGAATGATTGATATGCTACTTACAGTTGTGGATGTAATTTTTAGCTTAAACTGTCAGAGTGAATTTGTATTTTCACATTTTACATGTGACCAGTCTCCATATCTCCATTCAGCACCTTTTAGTAAACCATAATTTTCAGAAGTTGTTTGACTGGGTTTATTTTCTCAATTCTTAAGACGCATTTCAGTTCTGTACAATTTTCATTGTTTCCTTCCATTTTTTCATTATCTGGAATGACCTTATTTCACAGCCTTTTTGTAAATCCTTAAAAAAAGAAATGTTGCATCAACAATCTCCTTACTAAATTGATCATTCTTAACCAAACAATATTTTTTCCTTTGTTTTATTCAGGACCAGTTCAGATTTTCCATAAGTGCTATAGAGGGTGAGTTTAAATATTACAATGAGCAACTTGTTAGTTTAATTATATAAAAGCTGTGAATATTGATGTGAGTATATAGCAGCAGTATAGCACCTGATAAGTTGAGTGAAATGCTACAGAAAAAAATGCCATCTATCCATTGACGATACTAGTCTAGAATGATCACACTTCTCTACTTACTCAGAAACAAGCAGAAGTTGAACTAAACTTTTTTATAAAAGAAACCTACTTTCACTTAAATTGTTCATAATCCTTCCAGCATTATGCTCTCCGTATATATTAAAAATCAGTAATTCATAGCATAGCATTCATTAAAATTTCTTGGTAACATTATTATGTTTGACATGCTGCTTCGTTGAAAAAGAGGCAAATACTCTTTTGAGGAGACTTCTTGTTGGACACTAACCCTATGTAAACTTTTCTTTCCTCAATCTCAATTGGTTTTTATTCTTCACTTTCCTTCATACAGACTCTGCAATTTTCTAGGAAGCAACAATCCATGCTTAAAGTCTTGCAATCTTTTCACTTTGAAGAAACATTTGGGGTCTAGATTGGGTATCTTGGTTGATTACAACCATAGTTTGCATTTCACCGTAACAGTCTAAGTCTAGTAACTTTGATCTTGACTTACTCACTCCATATCTGCTGACTGTTGATCTATGACTACATGTACCTTGTTTCAGTCCTCTTCTCTGATAGTGAGAAATGTTTTAACAGACAGTTAATGAACTGTGAACTGTGTGTTTCTTCCAACTCTCATGGTTGTCAATCAAACCCTCCAGTCTCTAGTCAGCTCTTGCCTGCCGACCAATCATTCATCACACCAATGAAACACATGCACTTTCACTGGCTTGCCTGAAAAATTTCCTGTTGATATTTTTGAAAGGAAGGTAAGCTCAGTTAAACTTATCAAAATGGTCATACTGTCTGATCATCTCTCTGTCTCTGTACCTGTCTCTATTTCTGTCTCTCCCCAAAGAATATCATGCACCAACAATTCACCTACCTTAAGAGTTTTTGTTAAACAAGTACATGTAGATCAATATCATGCAATGCAGCGCCATCTTGGATTTTGTGGTGTGAGAAATCGAGGCTGAATGTGCTTAAACTTGTTGGGTTTGTTGCGTGACAGTGTTTTGAGAGGAGATTCTTTCTGTGGGCCATACTTGCTGGTAAACAATGTAACGCAAGACACTCCCAAGACTTTAAGCCTGTTCAGTTTTGATTCGGTGCCCCCCCAGGATGGTTCTGTGTGATATTGGTCTATTAAAAGGAATTCCTCCACCATGGTTGAACTTTCTCACAATAGAGCATATGTATCACCATATTTTGGAGAATTTAGCACTCATTCCTTCAGCATACAGTCAATATATCATTCATATCTGAAAATAATAAATCCTGACAGTTTTAAAAAATTAAAGAAAACATTGATTGTTTAAGCTGTGCAGTATTTCACACCACAATCAGTAATTTACTTATCACTCATCTTTCAGGGGAACAATTTTCCATCCCAGACTGTTTTAAATACTTTTCATTTCATTAGTGTCAGGACAATCCTGGCAGATAAATTTATCTGATAATAAAAAATAGTTGTCACATCTGATCTGACTTATTGAAAGCTAGTCAGGAAGATCATTGCATTCCACTATCAGTTGGCTTTAAGTCATTTACTATAAAAAGCTGATATCTTCACAACAGTTAAATTTGGTGAAGTGATTTCAGTCTGGTACATGCACAGAAAGCCAGTGGATGCTACGTCACTCTCAATAAGCTACCTGTAAGTTCAACATAATGTGTGTGGTGCTAAGTGAATTCTTGAATCTTATAAACACTTGTTGAAGATAAAGTAACAAATGCACATGCTGGCCGTGTTTATAATCAAGCTGATAAGAACCTGCTGGGCTAATTAATTAACTTGGCTTATCTCTTGTAATTTTTGGGATATGTTGTAGTTGTGATCTCTCTTTGTTTATTCCTTCTTAATGCCAAAAACCTATGTTCAAATAATGTTTACTTCTTTTTTCTTTTATGCATGATCATTTAAGAATAGTTATGACTTAAAAATTTTAGACATGAAATTTTTACATTTTTGTTTTTAAGACTGAATTATACATCCTTCTATGCTGTATGTATCTTGCATATATTTGCCAAGATGTAATTTGCTACCATGCTTAATTATCAAATACTTAGCATGAAGTGCTGTAGCTGTACCAGCATGCTTTTTTACAACATCCTGTTCTGTTATTGGCAGAGTAGTATGTAGATCGCTTGTGTCATTCTCTCTTTCTCTGTTGTCATGAAATTACCTTAACAAACATTTTTGGCATGAAATATGTGTTCAAGAATCAAAAAGTGTATATTTTATTTAAACTCTCTCAGACAGGCTCATTGACACATTATCTGTGCCAAACAGGAACTATCTTATCATGTTTATTAAAATAAAATGATAACACATTTAAAGTAGAAAATGAATGAAAAAGAAGGAAAAAAAACAAGCTTCTGTTTAACATGCAGTTATTTTAGAATTCTTCATGCTTTTGGTGCAAATTTTTTAAATCTGAAAAAATTATTGATTTGTAAGGTTTTGTTTTTTAATATTTGCCTGTAACAGTGGCAGTGTGATGTAATTTGCACTTTGTCCTGTAAGCATCAGATTACTTAACTTCACCCACAGTTTGTTGTCCCAGCTTGAAACATATACCAATCTGTACTTTAATTGTTTTCCTAGCCAGCAAAATTGTACTTGTTTACACTCAGCTGTTTAAAACTACCCATAAAAGTTCCTGGGGTACATTTTCCAAAAGAACTAATATCTGTGATGCAAAAACAGCTTATTCAAACGGTGTGTTGGTGATTGCATGGAAAACTTCAATCAAAACCTGACCCTTGGGTTTTGTCATAAGATACTTGATAGCATCAGGTTTCGTGTTGATCATTTAGCTCAGCCACGTTTTAGCTGTAAACCTACTTATAGTTAATTCAGTCCTTGTGGAGCCTGCAACAGCAACACATGACGCATTTCCTCTGATGTGGTCAGTTCTTAAAATTTCCTCTCTTTGACTTGTTTTTATTTTCTTCAAGCAGTCATGTACTGGCAAGATTTTGATCAAATGATTGAATCAGAATGATGAAAAGAACGTTCTTTTTATTATGCTGTTAGTAATTAATAAGTGTCATGATTGTAAAGCACTGATATAAAAATCTCTGTATGCCGACAGGAAGTGGTGAAGTCGACTTGGATGCCCTTCTAGAAGATCTGTGTGTTATGGAAAGGGACATGACGTCTTCCAGTGAAACAGATTCCATGTTTTCAGAGACAATTTCTAGCCCCATAATAAACTCTCCAATCTCACCCAAAATGAAGGTATGTTGTGAATTTTTCATTCTTTTGGCAACAGATACAAGTATTGTCCTCTGTTTGGTATGTTAGATGAATAACAATTATGGCTCACTAATGTTTATTAACAATGCAATGGATTACATGTGGTTTTCCCCAGTTAAGTTAGCTCCTAATAAATATTTGCTAAGTTCCTAATGATGTTTGAGCAAGTTCCATGTTTTGCTGCTCTGTGAACAAAGCTTTAGGATAATATTACATAGATTATGTGTTATGTTCAGGGATGTATTTCCCTTTCCTGGAAGAATTTCAACTCTGATTGTTTTGCTAAATGCATTTGTGCATGCCCCAGTTATTAATTCATACAAGTCACTTCCCATCTGAATATTGTATGGTATTGTCACTGATGGTTTTGCTGGTATCTCAGATGTCAAAATTCAGTACTAACTTGGGTTTGAAAGTTAAATTACAGACTTGACAGGAAAAATAATATTTGCTCAAAAGATATAACCAGCAATTCTTTCTACTGACTGTTTTGGTTTTCATTATGTGAGGCACACACTCTGAAGTGTCTTGCTGTGATTCAGCCCCACAGGCTCCTAAGGGAGTTGTCTTACAGTCACATAATAAATGCTTGCACGTTTTTTGTATGGACATGGCACTATAATTATTATAGAATTTATCTCAGCAAGCTTTCATTGACAGCCATGTAACAGAAACATAATTTAAAAAATGGAAATCTTTGCAGCATTCTCTATCAATTTATGAGGTTATTTTGAATAAAGATTCTAAAGTACTGTAAATTATTTTGCTAAATGTGCCTCCACAAATCAGAAATCAATATAGACTGCAATAGAATTGAGGGGTAACTTAAAACTTTCATTGAGTCACCAAATATTTGACTTAAATGGAGAAACCAAATCTTATTATAATAAGTAAAGCTATTAAATCAACCGGGATCAAGACCATAAAAACATTTTCTATAACATTTCAATTTTCACAGAATTAGTGAATTTAGTATCTACATTTGGTAAGTTATCACCCAAGTTTAGAGAGGGCTTCTGTGTTGTTGTTCAAATATTGCCATGATAGATAAACCATTCAATATTTACATATGTTATAGCTGACCTTTTGCCTGCATTTTCCACATTAGGGGTATTTACATTAATATTCCAAGGCAACAGCTGGAGTAATTATTTTTGCACAATTTTCCAAAAGATTGTCAAAGTTAATTGGCACTTGAAAATATCTGTAATATTTAAGTCCTTTGGAATGTACCCAGTATGATGCTGAGCTATTTGATTCATTATTCAGAACATGGGCTTACCCAGTATGAAAATGTTTCTCTTCAAGCTGGAGTTAGAAACTTGATTCCCAGGTTGATACACATGCAGATGAAAAACACCAAACCAATTTAGGATCTTTTCTTTATTTATTCCTTTTCCTATTCCTTTGGGCATTATTATATTGAAGCGGTCAACTTAAATCATTATGTGAAGAAATTAGCTAAGTATTGTGATCATAGCTTAAGTATAATCTTTATTTTGGTAATGAGCACATGGCAATTAAAAGAACCAAAAGAAAGGTAAAAATGAGCAATAAGTTTCACTTTGAGTAACAATTATGAGCTAGGTAACATAATCACAAAACAAGTTATTGCTTACCAATGTTTATGGGTCTTGATTACTTAATTATTAAGGATTACAGTCTAACTTGTCTCCTATTCAAAAACGATTTAGATCACACTGGGTCTTATCCTGAATTGAAACGCTAACTATAATTTTCTGTCTAAAAGGAACTAATCACGGAGGCGTCAATCTAATCAGAAAATATTTCACAGCTTTTCTCAGAAGTGGTAACATTTAGCTTCAATGGAAGCGGTTACACTGTATGATGCTGTTGATTTGAACATTTCTAGGTGTCAGCTGATGTGCGCAGCCGTCTTGAAAGTGTCCAAGAAGAGACGAGAGAACTTACCCCTGTGAGTAGTGAGAGTTTTGTCTTGATTTTGTGTTCTCTTTTAGCTCATAACAATCTCTCAGAACAGACATTGAAAGAAATGATTGGGATCAGTAGGGAGATTTAGATTTAGATCCTGGAGCTGAAGCAAAAAGTACAAGGAACACTTTCAGAGGAGTTTCTTAAATTCAAAATCAATATAATTAAATGGCCAATCTGAATTTTTTTATTTAGTCCCTTGTAGAATGAGACATATTTAAAAGCTATGTCAATGCCACTTTTTTACAGTGTTGAGCGATATTTTAGCTATGCATAGCTAAAGACTGCCTATTAAATCACTATTAATATTACCCCACACACAACATAGTCCAGTGTCGGTAATTCTCCTTACTGTCTGCCATACAATTCTTATGATGTTATTTTAGAGAACTTGGTACTGGATCAATTAATAATCCCATAATTGATATTTTTCTTTATTCTCATCAGCTAGCTGCTTGATATTGTATTGATATTGTAAGGAGAAATTCTGTGTTGGTCACTTGTGGGAGTGAAAGGGTTAACCATACATCACAATGAATTTAATCCTGAAATACCTCTTCAGCTGGAAATTGGTTTTAAGAGCAGGTGGAAGTGATGGTGTGATTTTCTCAATTATAGGAGGAACAACATGAAAGAATCAAAGCAGAGAAAATAAGGATAGCTTTGGAGAAACTCAGGGCAGCTAGAGTGAAAAAGTTAGTTGTCAAAGTATACAATGATGAGGATCCAACATCAAAAACTGTGGCCATTGATCAGACTTGGACGGCATGGGAAGTATGCAAGAAAATGATGCGCAAGAATGACACAGAACCTGATCCCAACTGGGTTCTGATCGAAAGAATTCCAGAACTCTTTTTAGGTCAGTATGGATTTGCAGAATCTTCTCAACAAATTGTTAGCTGAGTAATTGACGGTCCAAAATTAGAATGCAATAGTTATTGATTTCATGTGTGATTTTGATTTATTTGCATCTTCAGAACGACTCTTGGAAGATCATGAATCAGTAGTGGATGTAGTTTCAACCTGGCCATGGGATTCTGAGAACAAACTAGTGATTAATAACAGAAGAGAAAAATATGCACTTTTTAGAAACCCGCAGGTATGTCAAAATGACTTTTGAGACATTTCATTTTGTTTAAGGCCCAAAGGGTTTCGTAGTCTTTGATGTTCCCTGCTCCTTATCAAACTACAGTTTTCAGGTCAAAATCATGTTATAAAGTTGAATGAGGACCCAGGACTTTCTCCTGATATGACATTGAGTAAACAGATTAGAATTTATCAGTTACTGAAGTTCATACCAATGAAATTAATCTGTTGCAGAACTTTCTTCTGACAAGTGATACATCAGCAGGTGCTGCACAGTTGGCAGAGAAAAGTAAAGATATTTTGCTGCAGGTGATAAATCATTTGATATTCTTTAATAAGAATTGGTAGCAATCCTAGAAAATGATTGTTTTGATTGTTTGAAAATCTTTGAAAATCTTTGAAAATCCTTTTTTAGACCATTGTTTAAGATTTAAGACATAATGCTCTTTCAGAGGTTGATATCACTTTCACCTTTCTTACCTCTTAGATTGAGAAGCATCTGATTTCTTCTACCAATATTACCCCTGAATTAAACATTAATTTCATGAGAATAAAGGGAACGGTTACCAATTAAGCAAGCTGTTGGTTGTTGTACAAATTCTCCTTGTCAGCACCAAGGAAATGTATAGAGGACGGTTTAGAGGATATTCATACTAATGTTAGGTGTGGAGGGTTTACGAAGTTGTAATGAGATACACAAATGAAGCCAGAATGTGGAAGTTATTTGAACAGAATTGACACTTTGTGAAACCGTGTACACGAGGCGTTGCCCATGATAATGTCACCCACCCCTGACCATAGTGTTTGTTTGTTTGTTTTTGGCAGGAATTCTTTCAAAAGGATGCCATGAGACTACCAGAACTTGATGGTATTTTGTACCTTAAGGAAGGGAAAAAATCCTGGAAAAAGCATTATTTTGTTCTTAGAGCATCTGGAATCTACTATACACCAAAGGGAAAAACTAAGGTGAGCATGGCTATTCTTAGCGAATCCGTTCTCAAAAGTCATCGAAATACTAAATCCTTGTAATTATGTGTGAGCTGAATCTTCTTGAATTACTTAACATTCCAAGTCCTACCCTCTTTAAATTTTCCTTTTTCGAGGTTCAGAGAGAAGAGAAAAAAGACAATTGCAAACAGAGAGAAAGAAAAACTTGATTGAATTTAGGGTTGAGCAAGCTAAATACAGTTGGTATTTGTGCCCCTCAAATATTTTCTGGGTTTACACTGCGCGCCAACTGTCTCATACCCTATTTATCCATTTGATCTACTTACATTTACCTTTTATATACGATAATCCCCCAAAGAGGGTATGTACGTGCCTCTGTACTATTGGCTTTTACCGTTTGTAATCAATAAATTGGTTTGATCGATTCCTTCTACAAGGAATAAGGTATACCTCCCTGCCATTTGTTGGTTTGTTTTAAACTGGGTGATAGCAATTTTTTTTAAAGTGCTTTCAATCATGAGTTTAATCTCGTGACCCATGCCTCTTTACAGCTCTTTTGTTATGTTTTATTTCGGTTTTATTTTTTGTACTCCTTCTTAGCAATAAAAGTTAAGAAAGCAACTACATTTAACATATGAACTTACCAACAAAACACTAATTTTTTTATTTGTAGTCGTCACGCGACATCGTATGCTTGATGAAGTTTGAACATGTTTCAATCTATAATGGTATTGGATTCAAGAAGAAGCTGAAGGCGCCCACAGAGCACTGCTTCGTTTTAAAGGTATGTTTAAGGTTTTATTGTGTAGCTTGGCTCAGTTTAGCTCTTTCACTAAAGGAAATACAATATCGTTTTGCAGATTATTTCAGTGTTTGTTAGGGCAATTTCATTCGGGTGACGAAAGTAATTTGAGATTCCACCAGTTTTGCTTTATTTCGCTCCATCATTGGTCCTAAAAAATCGCGCCTTCCTCTCAATCAGCCTATCAGATACAAAAGATCTCCTGCGCTTTGAAGCCGTTTGCTTGTGTTTACTTTGAGTTCTGATTGGCCCCCTGGGATATCGTGGCCTCTTTGTTCTGTTGGGCCGAAGTGCTTACTTCGGTTTTGATTTTACGACACAGTGGAAGGGCGCTCTACAAAATAATATTGAAGTGAATCTTTGTACTTGACAACGATCCTAGTTTTTTGACACTGGTGTTGTTAATGGTGTATTCGGGTGAAATTATGAAGAAAACAACTCGTGGTTAATCCAAAAAGGGTTCTTTGGTTAAAAAAAAAAACGGTGTATTTGTGAAACACATATTTCAAATAAATGACTGATCATGAGCATGGAACACACAGGAAAGTCGTCCTGAAAACAGTTTGTTCTTTGTGCACATACGTGAAGCTCATTTTTACAGTACGGAAATGTAGTCAAAGCTTTAAATGAGGAACTGTAATCATTCGATCAAAGCGTGATTTAGCAACAAGTTAGACATGTCGCTGTCTTGTTTTTTTTAGCATCCTCAATACCATGACCTGGAGTCAAAAGCTGTTCGCTGTTTTTGCGCAGAAGATCTTAAAACAATGCAGCGCTGGATGGTGGGCATCAGACTAGCAAAGGTGAGTTGAGCTGGGTTATTTAGTCTTATCCATGCTCTCACTGTGGAAACGAACGAGAGAAGAGAATGGGCGAGAGAAAATCGGCGTGTTTTAGGGAAAGGGCTGCTCTTTGTGCGCATGCTGTATGTACAACAGAGCGGAAATGTACTGCTGTTTCGAGAAAGACTGTAGGGAAAAAAGCGTAAAAGTGTACGCGACAACCCCGATTTGAATTTTTCAGGGGAAACGTAGAACACGTCACTGTAAGGACGAAGCATGGCGGGTTAGATGAAGTTATATTTATTTATTTATTTGACTTGTTTCGATCGACTGATTATCGGATACCCAGATTACCTTTCGACATTGTTGCGTGCACTGTTGTCCTTATTTCCAATAACCTTTCTCGAAACAGCTTTATGCATTTTCTGTGAACAAGAGACTTTTTGCTATTCTTCTGCAAGATTCATATGAGGGTTACATGGAAAAATTTGTATGATAGCACTTTTTCGCTGTTCTGTAAACGTCGATCAGAGAGGCTGGAAAACACAGCCAAGTATTTTTTATTTCTTTCGGGGCACAACATTTTTATATGTTTAAAGGTAGTTATTCTATCAGGCCAGATATATAGCTGCATAAACAGGTCTGAAGCTCTGTTTTAACTTGGGGGTGTCGTGCATCGAGAAAGCGTTGTGTGTGTCCCCTCCCTCCCTCCCCCATCCCAGACGATGGCGAAAGAGACGAAGTTTTTGTGTGATTCTGTTTCTTGCAGTTCGGATACAAAATGTTGGTAGATTATACGGACACGCAAGACGAGATGGACAAGCTTGCGTTCACACTAGACAGGAACAAGTTCACCAGGTCATCAAGCTTCACTGCAGGACAAACTTCTGACCAAATAGATGGCAAACTTGAGGTTAGTGTTTTGGGATTGTTGCTGCTATTTAGAAATTTTCTGTCTGCGGAAAGACAAATTCTTTCAGCAAGTATCTAGTGATAGAAAGTGAACATTTGCGAGTGTTTTTAATCCCAAAGATAGCGTGACTTTCACTGGCCAGATATTCATGTCACGATATTCATGTCACTAATTCTTTATAAGAATATTGCAACTGGAGCAATAATTACAAATATTAACCTTTGGCTTAATTATTTTCAATTTGCGTCATTAATAAAGAAAGCATTTGGAGAAGCCGATTTCGGGTGGTCCAGCGTCGTATGTTAATTTGTTGGGGCATTGAATTCATTAATTGTCACATGGAGTAAATTAACGTTGTATGTCATCACAGTCGCAGGCTGAACCACCCAAGGATTATCAGTCGATGAAAGCAAAGGTTCAGTCTCAGAGAATTAAAGATTCAATCGGCACATCCTCAATCCATCCCAGTGGTAAGTAGAATAAACTGTTTGGCACGCAGGCTATGGCTGGTAAAATAGAAGAGAGTGAAAAGAGTAGATGGTATAATTCCTCTCATGTGTCCCTCTGGTGACTTCTTTGCCACGTCGCTTTGCGCCTGTCACGCAGGCAGGCAGTTAAAAGACAAAGCCTCTGTCAGCTAAATACACTTTCACTGTTACTTGTGCGAAGCGTGAAGTGGTACGAGGAGGGGAGGGGAGGGAAGGGGAGGGAGTTGCTAGTTGCATGTGATAACGGAACATGTCAGTGTCCACCTAAATTCCAATAAGACGCTAAAAAATTCCTGTCTCAGCCAATGGTTACGTTTCGGCCCTTGCGTACTCTGTGAATATTTTGATTAGCATGGATAACGCGATGTACATATAAACCTCGTTCCATACTCGTTTATTTTGAAATAAATACAGTGTACCATTCAATATTTTATTCTGATCTCACAGGTAGCATGAGCTTCTCCGTCAACAGGAGTAAAATTGAACCCAAGAAGCCTTCAAAGAAGATTGGAAATTTGTTTTCGGATGCCTGGAAGAAAGGGAACGAGTATGACTCTAAGGTAAAATTAATTCTTGTTTTTCTCGACGTATGCTTTGTATCGGAACTGTGTAATGATGGATCCCTTGCTCACAAACCACCAGCCGCAATTTTTCTTACACTTTTTAAGGCAAGTTTTGTGTTTTTGTTTGAACAGAATATTTCTGAACCCATCTCACCCGATCCACCCTCAACGCATAGTGCGGGAGCTGCTACGCCAAATACCTTGGACCCAAAGCCTTTCACCATAGATAACGTGAGCCTGCAACCTCTGGAGGAAGAACACGAGGTAAAGGATGAGACCCATGAAACTGAGGCGGGAGAAGCTGTTGTTCCAGAGCACAATTTGGTGTTAGATCCACCGCCTTTACCTCGGAAGTCATTCTCCAAGAAAATAGAAGGGGAACCTGCACAGCCACAGGGAGACAACAGCGAAGACAGAGAACAGGCGCAGAATGGTGGTGAACTAAGCCCACGGGGTAGGAGCTCGTTCAAACAACCAAGGAGGACTCGCAGCGTGTCGCCGCCTCCACCGCCACCATCCCCACCCTTGGCAAATCGTGGAGTCACCCAGGAGCCTAGTAATAACATGGGGGTATCTCACTCTTCGAATACACGCGGAAGTGCTTCCCCTCCTCCTCCTCCCGTCCCTCCAAAATCAGCGACACCCCGTACTTCGTCTGTAAGTTCAGAAAACAGCGTGTTCCGACGAACCTCGTCTAGCGCTTCGGACCACGAAGTGTTCCCGCAAACTCCTTCAATTGTTTCAGACCAATCTGGGATGCCTCAACCCGCTCCTAGTACGTCAGACCAAGAAGTGTTCAGCGGCTCGCTCCTTCCACCCCCTTCACGGCTTCTCTCCACCTCCATGGAGGAAATGCCTCCACCGCCACCTACCTCAGACGTTCAAGAAGATGCAGACGTGGAGCTCCCTCCTCCTCCTCCAGAGGTGTTGTTTAAAGAAAGGCTTAGCATGTCTATCAGTAACGGCAGGCGGAGAACCCCCAGTGACGCCCCAGCAGTACCGCCCAAAACAGGGAGACCAAGATTTAGCAGCTCTGGGCCGCAATCTCCTACCTCTCAAGGGAGAACGTCTTCGTTCACGGGCAGCTCGTAAACAAGTTTGTTCGCCTGCTGGGTAAACAAACTACAATAAAATGAGAAATGTTGGTAATTATTTATTTGGTCTCGCGTGAATAACCGCAGTTGAACACACATGTGAGCTAAACTTGAGCGTTTAAGAACTAATGATACTTTAACGCAAATGATGTCAAACCTATTTTATATCTTTCATATATGAAGATGTATTTACAGGAAAAATTTTATTTTGACACTGTCTAGAAACATACCAATCATGAATCGACATCTCATCAAAGAGCTAGATTTGGATCTAAGATTTTAAGAGTTATGACAATCCATTTCACACAAGCCAATTATTTATCAGTGTAAGTGTTTAAACGGAAATTCCGTCGAAAAGTTCCTAAAATTAAAGTTACAGTTCATCTGAACTAAACTGGACTGTTCGAATGTAAGTTGTATTGTCAAATTTCAGTGAATATTCTTGTGTTAAAATTTTGATATTTTTTTCTGATATGTTTCTTTGTAAAATGTTGGAAGTGGTGGTGTTTGTCTCACGACACAGTTTAAGTTTTTTTTTCTCACGAGATCACGACATGCCGCGGTCTTAAATTCAGAATTTTACGATTTCCATTAATTCGTGCCACACAAGGGAATAGTGCACCGCGCGCGCTGATTGGCTGGTTCGGAAGTGAAAAGCAAGTACCATTCACCTCCCAGCAGCCAATGAGACCCAATCGTGCGTCAAGAGTGAAATCTACGACCATTTCTTATTAAAAAAAGTTGAACTTAATTTTTAGCATCTGTATTTTTTTTTTGTATTGCGATTATGTGTTGTGGTCTCAACTAAATACTAATATTGAATTGATGTATCTGCTTGGTAGTTGGTTCAAATAAATTAAGTTCGGATATGTTTAAATTTATGTAGTGTCCAACATTTTATATCAAAGGAAGCAATCTATGTTTATTACTGCGAGATATTATACATTTAAAACATATTCAATTGTACATAGGAGTTAGGACACGGTACTGATAAATATTTCTATGTTAAAAATATATTTTTGTACGTTGTAATTTTTCGAATATACGCCGTTTTTGTAGTTAATAAACGATCATCTCTGCATTTAATCATTTGTTTTTGGATGTCTTGTTTGTTTTATATCTTAAGAAGAGAAAGATGTGGAAAACCTGTTTGACCTATTCTAAGCCCTGTTTGACCTGTTCTAAGCCCTGTTTGACCTGTTCGAAGCCCTGTTTGACCTGTTCTAAGCCCTGTTTGACCTGTTCGAAGCCCTTAAAAAGAACATACGAGTGAAGAGGGGAGGGAGCGACAAGCGTTGGTTGCGATTTTCAGGGAAACAGCTCCAGTTCGCTTTGGTTCTCCCATTTCACGCGCTCTATATTTCTGCCGGTCTTGTTTGTTTTCGACGTTCGACGTTGGGAGAGCGCATACTATTTGTGTCGCTTATTAAAATGAAAATGATGCGATCTGGCTTTTGACAAAGCTTTTTTCCCTTAAGTTATGAAGGCTCTTTGGAAATGTGATCACAACAACACTCGAAAATGCGTACCCTGTGTTTCAGGCAGAGAATTTTCGCAAAGTTTGGATAAGAATTTATCCAAGGTTCTGGTGCTAGGTGATAAGTTTTTTTTTTTTTTTTTTAATTGGCCAGGGTCTTTAAAATTACTATTGACTGCATGGAAGCAACTGGTCCATGCAGTGAACCAGAAATCATTTTTATTTCTATTTCCTTTACCTCTTAGATTGGAGGTAGAATGAAGGTCGAAAATTTTTAACATCATTCAACTGAACATAATTTAATGACTTTTCTGTTATTTGACTGGTACTCATTCGTTGTTCCTTTGCTTGTTATTTATTTTTCTGGCATTGTTTACATTTGACTTTTATAACATAGCCTCTTGGGAATTAAATGGGCGCCATTTGATTCAAAATTCACTTACTAGTGAAAGGATATCAACATCTTCAACTTTCGATGAAGTATCTGGGGGTTAGTCTGGTTATTCAAGATGATCTAGAGGTTAGAACTGATTATTTTACAGTTGTGCTTTGTTTTATTTAACACCATGTGTCATGGGAAACCTATGCATTAGCGAGTCTCAGGAAGGTAAATCACTTTGGTACAAACAACGTGTCTTGAAGTTCATCATGGAACCTTTTAAATCAAGGTTGGCAATTTTACCCTCATGAAACTCGCAGACTGCGGATTTTTACCATCAATTTTTGCAGATTTAAAGGTTAGAACCAGGAATCGTAGATCGGCTGATATTTTGGCCAGGATTGCGAATTCTGTGTAGAAGTTTCAGTGGGTCATAGAACTGGCGTGTCGGTGGTAGTCCTCATTTTACGCTGGTCGGTATGTTGCTGTTATGTTGCCCTTAATTTTTGGTTTCCGGCATTCATCGAAAGTTGGGAAACACTTCGCAAATTGTAGACCTTGTGGCTCAGCGCTTCAGCATGAAACCCATATCAATTTCAGCAAAGACAGAAAACTTTGGTTAAAATCTAAACATCACTGTTCCGGCTGGCGTAAACAAGCAATACACATATTTATTTGCTTATTTGACAATAATTTGTACAACCGAATATTTCAAAGTCAATCGAACCCGGAATTGAAGGGATAAACGTTGGTTCGAAGGATCAAGCGTAAGAAACTGGGTAGAAAACAGATTTTGCACATCCTGATCGCCTCGCGGGAAGATAAATTGGTTTTAGTAACTGAGTTGATAATGTAAATTGGCCAGCCTTAAAAACTCTACTGTGGCAAATCTATTGGATTAACCGATAGGTGGTAAAATCAAATTATCTTGTAATATCCCCCACGGAGGCAGCAACTTTACATGGAGGTCCCTTTCCACTTAAGCTGTTAGCCTAATAAGTAACTTGTAATCATATTATGGCCCTCATATTCCCACATCTGGAACCTGCTGATCGTCTCTTGACGTAAGCAGACCATGTGCTTCAATCCTCGGTAGTGGGACGTTATGAGAAGTGTCAGGATGGTTCTTATAGGGTTAAATTACAGACAGCCGGGGCAATCACTGAAAAAAGTTTGAAAAGACTTCCTTTTCAATTTTAACTTTCCTCACTCCTTTACGTATCTTCTACTAAGTCAAGGCACGTTAGAATTCTGGGTCATCTTCGTTAGAAAATTATGACCAACAATTAAGTTTTTCTTAGAGACTAAAAGTACAATAAATCCTGATCTTGAGGTACCCATGACATTAAACGGTGAGGCGAAAGTGACTTTCTTCATTCAACCGAACTTCGGTAATACTGTCATAAGAAAAATGTAAAATTTGAGAAGGCAGCAATTATTTTAGGTAATGTCTCACAGACTCCCTACAAATCAATAGATCTTAAAGCATCCATTTGAAAGCCAGATTTTCCCGAATTCCCACATAACACATGTATTGAACAGACGTATAGGAAAAATCAAAATGGCGAGGACCACAAAATATTCATATTTAACAACTACTCAACGAAGTGGAGGAGAATACCTGTTTCAAAATGTGCAAAACAGACGAATAATATTGCACTAAAAGGTGATTTTACCTCATTTGTTCTAGTAACAATTACAATATTTTCGGGCGCAAATCCTACGCGAGTTGCTAGGAGATGAATAGCTAAGGGTATTCGGAGTTTGAGCAGCCAATCAAAGCACCGACGACGTTTAAGTTTTTTGAAATGGGTGTGTATTTCACAAGTTTTTAACCTTGAAAATATTTAGCATGAATTTTCACGATCTGCATGGGTTAATCTCAACTATCCAAAGAGGAGTAAAAGGAATACGGAGTTTATAACTAGGGAGGTGTGGCTAGCATGTGAGGTGGTGGGGGTGGGGAAAGGTGTCCATGACTGAGCACCGTTGTAAGTTGTTTACGTGACGTGCAAAACTCCACACTATTGAAAAGGAAGTAGGAAAGATGTACGAGGAAATGAAAAATCTAAGCAAATAAAGATAGCGATTAAAAATTGATTTCAAACGACGAAATTGAAGAGTGTCTGCCAAAATTTTTCAAGGAGCATAAGCTGCGACGTGCTTTATTGGTCTTCATCTAAAATTGGAACGCATGAACTTGAGTTAATATAATTAATAACACAAATCAGACAGGCGCCTACACCGCGTGCTGTGACATAGGTTTTGACAGGTAAGTTAACCTTTAGGACCCCACAATCTGCCGTTTGTCACTACCAAGCCGATTAGCAAGAGAGAGAGCAGAAGCCAAAAATCTTATAAATTTGATGAACTGACTGAGGTACGAAGTTACAAAGTTTTCCTGCTTTAAAGTGAAGCTTTCCCTCAAGCTTTCAATATTTTGATAAGCTAATATTATTCAATTAGAGTTTGAGTCTATTTCAGCGCGTTATCCATGGTGACTGGAGAACGATTGCGTCATAAAACCTCTTAATTCGTTCATCTACCACATTTTTTTGTTGACTTTGTTCGCAAATATTAGGACAGTTGCGAAAACTTTGAATATTTACCGATATCATGCAACCTTTCAGCCATAAACCGGGAGTCCTTCATCCAGAGCTGTGTTTCAAAGAGAGTCATCAAGGCCAGGGTGTATGACAGTAATGGAAAAAAACGAAAAACAAGAGATTGAGGTTAGCCGCTAACGACAGATTACATGTAATTGTGATGATCACCGCTTATATAAGGTCAAGGTCTCTAATACTCATGCGAATTACACGATTAAGACATAGCGAGGCTAAATGTTCTTGAGATTCACTCGGCCTGCAATGAATCTCACAGCGAGTTCACTGTATCTGTCAGTATATCAAAGGGGTTTTTTCTTATTAGGAATGAATTTAAGGCGTTAATTTACAACTGCCAGACCTTCTGTACTAGGTTGTTCGTTTCTTAGCTGTTGACGCTGGATGAAAATGAAGCCATCAAAGCCTTGTAAACAAAGTGCTTGTTTCGTGTCGTCGCCGCTCTAAACTCCTTCGGTAGTGACTTTCAACGCTAAGATACGCTATCTGTTCATTGCGTGATGCAGGCCCCTCTTGCCTGCGTATTAGGCTGTTTGATGAGAACTTTAGCAAGGAGTTTAAATTATGTTAATAAAAAAAAAAAAAAAAAAGCAAGAAGCTAAATCGCCGAGTGTCGTTCGAACCTCTTCTCGCCTCTACTAACTTAGGCTAGGAACTGGCTAATTTCTCGCCGTTGTCCTGTATAACGTGCTGAAAGGCCAAAATTAATTTTTTTGGTAGAGTTGAACGTCGCCAAAAACGCAGCTGGGGAATTCTATAAAAAGTGTCCTTGTCAGGCGCGATAAATTAATTATGTCAAAACCACCATTTGTAGAGAGGTGAAATATCCAAGAAGGAAGAAAGAGCTCTTAAAACAACAAACTGAACCTCGGTAATTTACAAAGAGCTGTATTAGTTGGCTTTATCGCGCGGGTCTGGTCTTTGAAAACATTGAAAACATACAAATACACATAAACTTTAGCAAAGTGTCTGGGTGCGGACCGAAAGGTTTGTGAGAGACTCCACCTAAGAGTTATATTAAATTGCGGTGAGTGATATCGACAGTCTGAAAACAATTTGTGTTCAAATGCAAGGCGCATCGTATTTGATTGACACTAATATTAACTGAGAAAAAATTTGGATTAGATCGTTATGTCGAATCGTCTTTATACAGTTAGCACTTTGGGCGTCGACTTGTTGTCGATTCTAGGTTTTATTACTTTCCCAAAAGAAGTATTTTATTACACGCAGTTTATAAAAAAATGTTCGTGATAGCGTTGTACGTGTAACGCCTGTTTTTAGTTTGTTTGGAGAAAATTCAGTTATGGGCTTTCCCCAGGGACTACTGAAACTGTCTCTCGTGTAATGAGCAGGTGTCTCGACTGCTTATATTTACTCACTTCGGCTTTTAAGAGCCTTTCTTTCGGTATTGTTTATGGCGTTTGTCACCTGTATAGAGTAGTCGATAAAAATTTGTTCTCCACTTGTTCCGTCTCGGTTCTCTCGTTAAGTTGGTATACCTTTGAAGTTAACGTACTAACGCTTTTGAATATTTTCTTTTATAGGAAGTCTTGTAGAACGTCTCACTGCTTAAGGTTTCTTCGTACCAGCACTATACAATCGCTCGAATAGGCTACAAAGGTCTCTTTTTTTTTTCACCTCGGAAACGGATAAACATCGATCAATGGCCGGAATCAATCGGATTCAATATCAGTAGTTGCTAAAATAGCTCGCTAGTATTTTGAGTGAGGGAACACTTTGTCAACACCCCGCAAATATGTCAGCTCGCTTTATTGGTTTTTAAAACTAGAGGAAGGATGACGAGATAAACAAGTTTTTTTTTCTACAAGCCGGGTGGTCGATGTTGGGGAAATGGTGTGTGGCTCGACAAACAATATCGCTAATTTGCGCGCCTCCACAAGATCCCAAAATGAAACCCCTTGAGAAATACATTAAGCTATAGAAATAAGGGAATAAGAAAGGAAAATCAGAGTGTTATCCACGATGTACCGATTCCACTAATACAAAAGAGGATGTGGTCAAATCATGGTCTCTTGACTAAAGTTGTTTTAAACTTGATTATAGTCAATAAAGAAAGTTTTATAGACGTCACAGTTTCCGCTCTGTGACTGTCGCTGAAGAAATACCATTAACATTTTTTCCTGAGTCATTTCGTTGTCAAAGCTACTTTTATTTTGTTTATAATAATATACATGGAAAAAATTACGCGCTTCTGATTGGCTGCAAAACGAGCGCATTGTCATGTATCACGAGTGCAAATTACAAATGGCGCGTACGCTTTCAAAATTTCGTCTTTCTTGGCTTTCTGTGGTCTTTTTTCATGTACATTATTAACAAGTAATAGTATGATTTCTCTTGCAATTTGGTATGATAAGCACTTATAAATTTTTCAAAGATTACGAATCCCACTTGCCCCGCGGGTTCATGTAATTTTGTTGAAAAATTTATAAGTGCGTATTTACGCCAAATTGCACTCGAAATTATGTTATTACCTATACTTAATGCTTTCACACACGAAATTAAGCGATGGTTAGGCTTCTTGAGGAAGTCTCTAAAAAAATTGAAATATCCACAAATTTTCTATGGCCAATAAAAATGAACTATCGTAAATCGTGACAAAAAGCACTTTAAAAAGAGGCATCGTAGTAAATAGCACTTTCAAAAGAGAAATGTAATCGTTTGTCTCACGGTGTGGTGTCACTTCGGATGTGGATCGCGACGATCGCACCAATCGCAGCCGTGGAATCCCATCCTATCACAGCTTATTACTACAGCATATGGGTGACGCGTACTCAATCGACCTCATCGCCTGAAGAAGACTGGCAGTATGCAGTCGCAAACGTCGCGATCCCTGACATCCAAAGTTACCATCACATCATGAGACAAACAATTACATTTCTCCTTTGAAAGAAATGAACTATATAATTGATAAAGAGATCAGTTGATTTGGTATGATTGTAGTGTCTATGACCATAAGAAAAGGGAAATACAAGTTATGTTCGGGGCTAGAAACAAAGCATTTTGTTTCCAAGTATTATTATTAATCGAACCTTTGGTTTTCATTCAAAGATGTCCGTGCCTAGTGCTGAACCGCAGTTGGAAACTGAGAAGAAAAAGAGACCACTTGGCTTGAGCTACCTCATCGACGAAAACCCGCCATGGTACATGTGCTCTTTGCTGGGATTTCAGGTAAAAAGGCACTCAAAGATAACTTTGTGTGGTTAACGATAAAATTTACCTGATCTTCCATAGGTCTCTGTTATATTCTAATGATTTCCCTCTGTCTCTCCCTTATACTCTGTTGGCGACGACTGATCCCCCTCCGTTCCCGCCCTGAAAACCATGTGATCTCCCAAATTCCTTCCCCCCCTCTCCCCCCCCCCCGGCGATAAAAGAATTACCGGTTTTAACATTCAACCATATAGCGATCTAGCGCATTATCTCACGGTAAATTACGTGAACGTCGACGACTGTTTGCAAACCAAAGGGGAATACAAAGCCAGCTCTGTCCCCAAGAAGAGAGGGTATCTGCCAAGTTTTGAACGACCATGTTCCGCTGGGGACCCTCTAGAGTCCTATTCTCCCTCGTGGTCGTTATTTGGTCTCGAAACGCAACAGGCTGGTGACGTGTATGTATGGAACAGAACCCTACCCTACAATAACCATCGTCTTGTTAGTCCAAACCTCGTTCTTTCACTTGTTTTCTTGTTATTTTAGCATTTCCTGACCATGCTGGGATCGACTTTGGCCATTCCTTTCATCATTAGTGGCCCAATGTGTTTTGCAGATAACCCACTTGCCATTAGCGAAGTATTGAGTACCATTTATTTCGTTTCTGGTTTTGTAACCTTGCTGCAAACCACTATCGGAGTGAGGTAAGCCATTGTATAGCATAATCAGATTTCAATCACAATTGCGGGGATAGGGAAAGAAGAGTTTAAATGTTCACCTATGACACAGAAGACTCTGTAGGCGTACAACACGAAAACTAAATCTAAGTGCCTGTGTCTAGTGGCTCTGTTACTTTTCTGCATTAATGGCTCCAGCACTTTTTGCCTGGAATATACCGCCAACCAAAGTGTTAGAACATATAACAACTCACTGAAATCATCTGATATTGTTCCAGCCATGATTAATTCCTAACTTCTTTATCTTCATAAGACTACCGATCGTTCAAGGTGGAACATTTGCCTTTATCACCCCGACGTTCGCCATCTTGTCTTTGCCGAAATGGGCCTGCCCCACAACTGAAGGTCAGTTTAGTTGCGTACTTTTGGATGCTAACCGAGAAACTGGGTCGAGAGCTTCTAAACGAGGCCAATTAAAATCTCCCTGAAAAAATGGATATGGGTCTGTTTTTTAAGACCCTGTTTAAGACGAACTGTTTTACATGACATCTTTTTTCACTGAATTTAACTTCTACTACACCACGTCCTCGTTTCCTAGACCCAGTTTTCCTCGCTTCTGGGATTTTCTGGCAAACTAGGAACTGCAAGAAACTAGAAATACTAAAATAACAATAGGTACTGATTGCTGATTTCAAATACTAGGCAATCAAATCTAATTTGACATTTCAGAATCTCAAGAAGGCATTTATTAAGATCTCTTCTACCGTGCGCGGTAGTAATATGTTTGCTTTACTTTTATTAGCCTTTTTTTAAAATGTCTTGTAATGGTTTTAGGAGTATTTTATTGCAATTTTTTAAGTCCTAAATTTGTTTTTCGAAATCTCTTCTTCTTAGTCGACTCCAAAAATCGAAGAGAAAATTCACTTGCATGCCTTGTAAGTGCCTGATTCAATCTGAAGCGAGTATTTTAAACTGCTCGCTTACGCACTTGTTTTAAGGGCGCGAATGGGTTACTCTGCTCTTTCCTTAAGTGATCTAAGGTGCAAGTAATTTAGATGTTGTCTCCCTGATCGTCTACTCGACAACAACGTACAACCACTATTCTGCGTGAATTCCTGAGAACGGGTTTCGTTGAGGCCCTAAGCATTCCTAGTCGAGATGAAACCTGATGGTTTATGTGTACTTTTTGAAGATGATAAATCGCTTAGAGTTGCTATGGGGACATTTTCATGAACAGTGTCTATTTGATCGATCTTGTTTTGATATTGAGATAGGTACAGTGCTTTTTCTGAGGATTATCTTTTATCTACAAGTTTAATCGTGTTTTTCTTCACAGGAAGCGGTAATTCGACTGTCGACAGTGAGCTTTGGAAGCCCCGCATGAGAGAGGTAACCGATGAAAAGGGTTTCCAACATTTACCACGCAGACTGCGAGCAATCTATCCTTTTCGACAAAGTCCGTCGGCGAAGTCCGAGCAAAAAAAAAATCAGTGAAAAAAAATTAATGTTAGCGCGGCGTGCCATGGTTTTTTTTTCCACTGATTCTTTTTGGCTCGCGCAACGGACTCCGCTGAAAAGGATGGATTGCTCTTAGTATTTGACATATTGTTTTGGCTATCAGTTGGTCAGTTGGCCGGTCAGTCGGTCTGTCGGTCAGTCCTTCGGTCTGCCAGTCAGTCAGTAGGACAGGCACTCAATCACCCAGTCAGTTAACAACACTAGCAGCGTATTATCTGTACTGTGTTGTATTTTATTTCCTCCTTTGGCCCTTTGCTTTTGTCTCCTTCTCCCACATTAGATCCAAGGTGCAATAATGGTCTCATCATTATTTCAAATCTTTATCGGCTTCACTGGCCTCGTTGGTTTTCTGCTTCGATTCATTGGACCGCTGACCATAGCACCTACGGTTACGTTGGTGGGCGTGGCACTGTTTAGAGTAGCAGCAGACAACGCGGGTAATATGAAACACTGAAATAACGAGAAAGTCGTATGTTTCAAAAATTTTTACCGAATTTTGTAAAGGATTGTGCAGGCGAGTGTTTAAGACTCTAGATTTTGCAGTATGGAAGTCTAAGGTGCTTCATACATGACCTACAAAATATTTTCAAGTAATTTAGTAGTTTGATTTATTAGTATTTTTGGGTTATAACTTTTGGGATAGATTTTTCCCCGGTGAATAGACTCACTTTCTTGCACACAGGCCATAAAATGCCTTGTGCACTTGTTAATAAGAGTGGCTTTTGTGTGAATCATAAGGCGCCGTTTGCAGATTTAACTGAATTATGTGGCTATAAATTTAGCAGACCACGCCGGATTCATCGCTTTATTTATAGAGGTGACGTTAACATAATTGTTAACTCTCTATATCTCTCTGTTTTCAATCAGTTTAATTCCTTCTTTAAAACTAAGATGTTTTAACTTAGAAAGCGAATCGAATGAGAAAAGAAAATGACAATGTGTTTCCCTGATTTCCTCCAACAGGGAATCATTGGGGAATCTCCATGACGTACGTATCTGCGGTCCGTTCATTTATTTCCTTCGTGCTCGCAATCCCTCTGTTTCAGTCAGTCCGTTTTCACTTCAATTGTGTTAAGATGTTCTCTTCTTTTTCTGTTGTCTTAGGACTATTGTGTTCATAGCTGTGTTTTCACAATACCTCACAAATGTTAAGGTTCCAGTTCCCGCTTACAGGGGTGGTCTGAGGATTGGCCATTTCCCTTTGTTCCGCTTATTTCCAGTAAGTACAGAAGAGGTTTAACATTCCCACCTTTGATAATAGGATTATTAGCTTTATTAGTCTTTTCTTAATTTGTGTTTCATTTAGTAATTACGATTACTGACAGCGGTAACTTCGTTATTAGTACTAGCTTTCTTCAAGAGATTATAACATCTTGCTAACTTTCTTCACTGCGTATCTTTCAGATTATTCTGGCGATTGCAGTATCTTGGGCTCTATGCGCTATCATCACCGTGGCCGGAGGGTTCCCTTCTGATCCTATGAATCCTCAGTACAAGGCAAGAACGGATGCAAGAATTGCTGTGTTAAAGGAAGCAGAGTGGCTCAGATTTCCTTACCCAGGTGGGGAAAATTTCCTTACACGTTTATGCGCATGGATAATGAGATCGAGTCACCACCGGGCTCGAGAGCTGGCCAAGTTATTGCATCTTGCTCTCGAAAAACGCGCCTAACTCTTAAAGTGCCTTTCTCTATCAAGGAGTATAAATGGTGCTTACGCTGGACCAGCACCAGTCCAAAGGGAGTGGCAACACTCCCGGTTCCTTATGCTACAGAAACTGGGATAAGATTCAGCTGGAGGGTTAGTCTACTCGAAATCAGACTTTACCCACCTCTTTTTATACGCATAGATCTACGTAGAAGTAACTTCTTAACTACTGTACCCCCCAAAATATGGTTTTCTTAAAAAGGGGTAAAAAATAAAAAATGAATTGCTTTCGTCAAATAGCTGCCCATTCTTCCGTTAGACAATTGTTGGTATAGTTTGGTGGGTATCCATTAGTATGGTGGCGCGATTCGGCTTCAAAAGCGCAGTGGCTCAGAAAAAAAGTTACCATTTTTCCACGTGAGAAAAATAACCTGTAATAAAAGCCCTTCGTCATTCACTCTGACGAAGGGCTAACGCTCAAAACGTCAGCTTTGAAACTCTTTACAGTTGATAGTTTATGTTATCAACTCAGTTGATAATACCAAATAACCGGATCAATATCGGTATCTGGGCAACTGCCTACCTACCCCTCCCCTAACTCAACAACAGTCAATTGACAACAAGTTGAGGTTAATGTTGGGTTAGGGGAGGGGTAGGTGGCAGTTTCCCAGATACTGATATTGATTCAAATTTCCTTGTCATACTCTCTTTCCAACACAGCACCACAGTTTCTTTGTTTCTTGAGAAACTTATCCCCTTTATTGATTCATATGAGCCTATTTTCTAACGGCCTTTTTCTTGTGTTTTTTGTTTGTTTTTATACTCTTAACCAAATGTAACAACACCACAACAAAGATTTTATTGGTGCCTTGATTGGGTCATAATCACCCGGAACCGCAGGTTGCAGCGCTAATCGAGGCAGACTGAGAGCGTAATTTTTTCATTTGAATATTTTCAGCCAGTTATATTGTATCTAAAATCTCATGAATGTTCACCGCTCTTCAGGTCAGTGGGGAATGCCTACTGTCAGTCTCGCAGGGGTTTTTGGGATACTTGCTGGAGTTTTGGCCTCCATTATTGAGTCCGTGGGTGATTACTATGCATGTGCGAGATTGGCAGGAGCACCACCACCGCCAGAACACGCCATCAACCGTGGAATCGGAATAGAAGGACTTGGATGTCTTTTGGCTGGAGCTTTTGGTACCGGGAATGGAACAACATCATACAGTGAAAACATCGGGGCTATAGGAATCACTAAGGTATCAAAGGCAACAGTTCGTCTTGCTCTTGTACCACCCAACACGATGGAGTGTAAATGTGTTTTTAGGTTATGACTGAGAGACAAGCGACCAAGAATCCTCTCTTCTAAGAGACAAAAAGTTAATCAAATAAAGTGTGACTAGTGATGCTAATGCATTTATGTAGCGCGTTCTCCATAGGTATATACCTTAATGCGCTTTACAACACCTTCCGGGGGACTTGGGCCAGATTGCATCGAGCATTTTACGATTTTTGTAAGTGAATTGGGAATTTTTGGAAACAATGCTAGGCCACAACACTGGAAGCTACGTTACCTCCTGCGTGGGTTCTTAAACGTCCCCTGCTATCCAAAGAGGAAACGGGAGACGAGGCATGTGGTTTATCGTCCCTTTTTTTGGGAAGACTAGTCATTATAACTGTTTGCAGACGTCGTAGCAAGGGCAGCGCATTCTCCTAGTTATTTTAAGACCCTGAGTGTCGGTCCGGTCAGCCAGGGCTCGAAGTCTCGACCTACTGCACGGCAATCCGACGTTCTATAACCTGAGCTAACAAGGTGGCGGTAGCCTCAAATCGGTTGCTGATAAAATGCAGCTCTTAGACTCTCTTAACACGAGGCTGGAAATAATTTGGAAATAGTCTCCCACATGTACCCTTGTCTTGTTTTCACGACACACTTAGTTTGTCAATAGTCATTCCCAAGCTTAAGTTTTCAAAAACTTAATACTTATTTCACCTAACTTTCCAAGGTTGGAAGTCGCCGAGTGATTCAGTATGGTGCGATAATTGTCATGATCATTGGCGTTGTTGGTAAAGTTGGAGCTTTGTTCGTCAGCATCCCAGACCCCATCGTTGGTGGAGTTTTTATGGTCATGTTTGGAATGATCGCTGCCGTTGGAATCTCCAATCTGCAGTTTGCTGACATGAATTCCTCCAGGAACCTGTTCATCGTCGGATTTTCCATCGTATTTGGTTTAGCTCTGCCTCACTATATGGAAAACCATCCCAACGCTATCGACACAGGTATTCGTCATTATAAAAGTTTTTTTCTTTTCCTGCTTCAGAACTCAGATCGTTGTACTTGGTTTGGATTGCATCTTTTTACATGCGCACATCAAGGCCTTAAGCATTCCACCAAACACTACAAAAAGCTGTTTCGTTAGCGTTTCAGAAAGTTATGTTTTTAAAACTTTTTCCGTTCGCTCAAAGCAAGTGCGTTTCATTCCAAAGACATTGAATTCCGATTTATCAAATATTACCCAAACATGCACATTTTAAGTGTAATTGGCCTATAGCTGACTCAGTAGCATCTCAAAATTTACCTTGAATACTGCTGTTAGAGAAATCAAATCAGTAAAAGTCTAACCTCTATCTGTAACTGAGTGGTTTTACAAAGTGTGCATGTTGACTTCCTCTCAGGTGTTACCGAAATTGACCAGATCCTGACAGTCCTGATGAAAACAAGCATGGCAGTAGGATGTATTGCTGCTTTGATTTTAGACAACACCATCCCTGGAACTTTAGAGGAACGCGGGCTTAAGTCTTGGAGGTGTGATCTTTCAGCTGAAAACGATGGAAACTCTCAAACAGCCTCAATAAGAGTCTATGATCTGCCGTTTTGTCTAAAACGTCTTGGTGACTGCAAAGCGGCAAAATATATACCTTTTTTACCGTACAACCACAGTGAACCAAACAACGTATATGATATGGAGGTAGAATATTCTACTTCAAATCTTTAGAGGGAAGAGTGTAGTTAAAGTATGGCTTAGTATGTCATGAAGTAACCGTTAGGTATGCTCTAATGCTTTAAATTATAGAAGTGTCACTTCTGTACTTTTTGATACATATAATACTGCACCAAACATTAAGAAAAGATTCCGAAGAAATAACAATTCAGCCTCTATAATCAGGTTTTACTATAGAATCAAATTCATGACTGCTAGGTAAAAGCTAGTTCAAGTGAAAATAAGTTTTACTTTTAGCTTGATTTTAGCAGGTTGCTTTACGAGATCGACTCTCATGTACATACCAGCACCTACTGACGTCACTTTCCAGTGAAAATAAAGCTTTATACGTTAAAAATTCAAGGTTGTTATCTTATCCTTTGATTACAAGGTCACAAAAAGCTTTCTCGTTCCTTGATTTAAAAGCCTAGACACTTTTAACGGTCAGTGTTCAGCGTTACAAGTACTTCAATCAGGAAAATTATCTTACTTACTTCCACGGAGAGAACAACACTCGGTGACCTATCGAAAATGGTTGAAAATCGTAACCAACATTTAAATAAAATAATTTGGTCTATCAACTGAGTTGCTTATACAAATCGGCCACTGTTAAGATTTGTTCTAGCTGACGCTCTGTCAAAGGGCTAACCCTCGAAATATCAGCTTGAGAAACTCTTTACAGAGGCCTATTTGTATTATCACCTCAGTACATAAAACCAAATTATCTTGTGTATCCCCTTAGCGACGCAGCACCACGGTTTCTTCAGTAACTTACTCTTTTAATTCAAAATTTGAATATTTTGTAACTTCCTTTCCAGACCTCTCTGGTCGTCGTTTTAAACGATGCGCGGTTTGATTTTCTTGCGTACTTAGCGACAATTGTTGCAGCTATGTAAACGTCAGTTCAACGGATAGATGGGTCTTAAATTTTTTAATTTATCCTGTTGAAGACAGTGTCTCTTTGATGGGGCTCAGAGATACTTATCCCTTTTTGTATTAAATGCAAAAATGACCTTTTCTGATAAAGACCTGACATTTTTACCAATGTCGCTTTCGAGGCTTCCTATGGCTTCTTTACCACATCATGCCCATTTTGACATCACAGCCACACCCCACAGGTGTATTATATATTTTCCATTTTGTCTCTCTCTACGCCGGAACCAAATCTATCATTTTCACCCCGCGATAGACAGATCATGCTCACACGCCCATTCGCAAAAACAAACAAAGGGAGAGGAAAGTAATGCACACCATACCACGGTACCTACAAACAAAGTGCCGCATCTCCTGCAGGGTGCTTCTCTTAAAGCGGAGACAAGTTAAGGGGGTTTAGCAGCGGTTTGTAAAAGAGCACTTTCCTGCCGGCTGGCGCTAAATCGGGAAAGGCGCTTTTTAGTGTAAATACGGTTTTCAAGAGAAAACTTGACATAATAACAAACCAAAACCCTTTTTGATTAAACTAGCCTTTTCTCTCTCTATTTCTGCTCTGTTGTGAGCATTCCAGCCCAAAACTTTGTTAATTTCCCCTGTTTCCTTAGTGGAAACGTGTTACTTACACAATTTTGTTTGAGAGCGCATTCAGAAGAAACAGCACAAACTATGGTCTGAACAAACTTTATTCTGGAGTAAATATCCCGCCGATGCAATTTGCCAACACAATGATGTAAAAGAGCATTGGAGTTCACAAACCAAAAACTTTTATTTTGATTAAGCGAATGAAACAAACATCTTGTTCAAATGAAAAGCAGATATTTCCTTTCTTAAGTCGTAGAGCTACTAGAGAGACTGAGATGAAAACAGAAACAAAAACTGGCACAGTTCTAAATGAACTGCTCTGTAAAGATTATCAAGACATAGCGGAAACTGACGAAGTTCGAGTAAGGAACCCACCTTGTTGGGCTTATCCCCCGTTCTCCTGAACTTGCAATCTGATTTAAGACATTACTCCAGTTAGTGCAACAGAGCGAAATAGTGCACGGCGCGATAGCAGCGGCAGAACAAAAACGAGGGAAGTTTGGGGCGATCGCGTAAAATTAATTACGCGACCCGACCCAACCCTCCCGCTTTTTTTTCTTTCAATTCCACATTTTCGTTTATTTCATTTTTGTCGTCAGAATTTGGTAAAAAGGGAAGATACTTGGCAAATTTGTAGTTGCTGAGGCGATTGAGGCCAAACGGCAGATCGTAGATTTTAATAGAGGCTGTTTGAAACTGTTCGCCATTCTCATCTGAAACACTTTGCCTCCAAGCCATAAGCCCGCGTTCCTCATCAGTTCCAGGGATGGTGTTGTCCAAAATAATTGCAATGATACCACCTACTGCCATACTTGTTTTTAAAAGGACTGAGATGATTTGGTCAAATTCTGGAGAACCTGTTGACAGAAATAGTAATATTAGTGTGGAGTTTTTTATCATGGACTTGCCATGGCATTTATGGGTTTCGTAACCTTTAAACGAGAAATATGCTCCTGGTACCATGTGATATTTATCTCTAACATCAAAAGGTACACATGAATTTATCACTGTGGATAGCTACGTGTCGACTGCACATTATGCCTTAAGCACAATCTTCTTCAGGCAATAAGGTCGACTTGATTTGCTGGTGCTTGACAACTGCGATTGGTGCATTTTTAAGCGGTCCGCTGTCGCGCTCTTCCCTAGTTGTGGCGTCTTCTTGAATGGTTGACATCTATTCTTGGATGCGACTTTTATCACCTGAAGAAGACTTGCAGAATACATTCAATACGTCGTGATCCACTGTGGAAAAGATTTCATCGTAAAAATAACAAGTTCACTGCATAACAAGTGCATTCATCACGATAACCGCAACCCTTTTTTATGAAACAGTTTTGGTATAATGACACTGAAGACTCATACCTGTCTTGATTGCGTTTGGATGGTTTTGCAAATATAGTGGCAGCGCCATACCAAATGTAATTGAAAATCCAACAATGAACAGATTCCTTGGCGAATTCATGTCAGCATACTGTACATTAGAGATTCCAACAGCGGTAATCATTCCAACTAAAACCATGAACACTCCACCAAGAATAGGATCTGGGATGCAGACGAAGAATGCGCCAACTTTACCAAAAAATCCAACAACTACCATCACGACTGCACCATACTGGATCACACGGAGACTGCCAACCTAACAGGACGGAAAATTATAGAAATACTTCTACATAGAAATCGTGATAACCATCGAATCATTCCGTGAAAACAAGGTTTATTACTTCAATTCCCACAGTTCTATCAAACGTTCTTATTTCTTCCTCAGCAGCTCTCTTAATTGTATTTCTACAGAAGCAAAATCAATGATAAAGAAACTGAAATCATTTTCAAAATTTGAATTTTTATATCACACGCTTTACTTTGTGAAAATCATACTCAAAGTAATTGAAACTGCATGTAAGGTCGCAAGGTCCAGTAAACAAAATATTTTCAAACTTCAAGCGTGTATTAAGAGATATTGCAAATTCCCCAGCACATAATGCAATTTATCAAAATTGTTATTCAGGACATTTGATTCTCCTCTCTCTCAGCAGGTGATTAAAAAAGGCGCAATGGGCAAATGTTCAATAATGTTGGACCTCTTACTCGGGGATACAGAGTCTGAGAAAAGGCAGTTTAGATTAATAGGAGCGCATAATGTTGATTCATCCAGGAAGCACTGAAGGATTTTATTCGACCGACTGAAACAACAGTCTCCCACAGGAATAGTTCTTAACTCCATGGTAACATACAAGAAAATAGTCTTCGGCTTTTGCCATAAAGTAAATTCAAAAGTTATAGCGCTCTTACTTTCGTGATGCCAATAGCTCCAACATTTTCACTATATGATGTCGTACCATTTCCGGTGCCAAAAGCTGAAGTCAAAAGGCATCCAATTCCTTCCATCCCAATTCCACGGTTTATGGCATGGCTTGGCGGTGGAGGAGCTCCTGAAATCCTGGCGCATGCGTAGTAATCTCCAATGGACTCGATGATTGAAGCTATCACACCAGCAAACATCCCGATGACCCCTGCGGCACTAACTGTGGGCGTTCCCCATTGACCTAGAAACACAAAGATGCTTCAGTGACTAGAAATGAGAAGTTACTCTTTACATTGTTAAGAGATTGATTACTCAATTCTGCTTTGGATGGACATACTCTTACATAAGAAAAAAAACAACAATCTGTGGATGTTATATATCGGAACTTCGGAATAGAAATAAAGTAGGAAAAAGGATCATTGCAGTTAAAGATATTGTCGGTGAATTTTTATGATCACAAGAAAACAAGTAACTATGAAAATAATATCTCGCTTGTAACCTGGATACGGAACTCTAAACCACTTAGCTTCTCTCAGGACATCAATCCTGGCATCACTTCTGGCCTTATACTGAGGTACGCTGGGATCGGAAGGAAAGCCGCCGGCCGCGGTGATGATGGCGCTAATAATCCATGCTACTGCGATGGCTAGAATGACCTAGTCAACGGCGAGTTAGATAAGCCATTAGACAGGTTTTCTACTGCACGTCTTAAAACCAAAACCAAGTACTAACAATGTCAAGGTAAAACAGGGTACTACTGGATTTATCAGGGTAATGTAGTATTATCAACTGAGTTGATAATACAAAGAGCGTTGGCCCTTCGTCAGAGCGACTTTACGTTGGCCAATTTACGTTATCAACTCAGTTAATAATACTAAATTACCCTGTTAAACTCTCCCACCGGAGGAGAAGGGCTGAAAGCAAACGTGTCTCGGAGGTTCATAGGTTCAAGAAGATAGCCCTAAAGGAAATGCACACAAACCTAACACTTCAAGAAACGTTTAAAGAGAGTTATAAAATTGTGTTCCTTTTATAAGGCAATTTTCCTATTTTGCGCCACTGGTCTTCTCTTAGGGATACGATAGACAATAGGCTAGCTTTACTTACTGGAAATAATCTGAATATGGCGCTGCGACCCATGTAGCAACCTCCTTGTTCTCTGTTGTACCCGGGAAATGGTACCTTGACGTTCTTAAGATATTGCGAAAACAAAGCTATTAACGCGATAGTCCTGAAAAATATAAACACAAAAATCTTTAATTCAATGTTTGTTGTATATTGAATAGTTTATGCTCACTAAGCATTCAAATAGAGTTCATTTACCCCCAAGATTAGCCTGGTATACCAAAAAAGACTAACATGAGTACATTCCAAGATAAATGTTCACAGACTCTTAGGTTTGTCATTCTTATTATTATTATTATTATTAATAGTTTTCTTTTTGTTTTGAAGAGCGGTCTAACCTACGCATATAAACTCCATTTCTCTCATAGATAAATGTAAGTTAATTGAAAAGTGATAAAAAAGATAACACACTCGCGCAAAC